AATTGCAAAAATCGCAAAAATGCCTGAAAATTGCAGAAATAGCAAAAATTCCTGGAAATTGCAAAAATCGCAAAAATTTCTGAAATTGCAAAAATTCCTGAAATTGCAAAAATCGCAAAAATGCCTGAAAATTGCAGAAATAGCAAAAATTGCAAAAATTCCTGAAAATTGCAAAAATCGCAAAAATTTCTGGAAATTGCAAAAATTGCAAAAATTCCTGAAAATTGCAAAAATTCCTGAATATTGCAAAAATATCAAAAAATGCAAAAATCGCAAAAATTCCTGAAAATTACAAAAATCGCAAAAATTCCTGAAATTTCAAAAATCGCAAAAATTCCTGAAAATTTCAAAAATCGCAAAAATTCCTGAAAATTGCAAAAATCGCAAAAATTCCTGAAAATTGCAAAAATCGCAAAAATTCCTGAAAATTGCAAAAATCGCAAAAATTGCAAAAATTCCTGAAAATTGCAAAAACAGCAAAAATTCCTGAAAATTCGCAAAAAATCGCAAAAATTCCTGAAAATTGCAAAAATTGCAAAAATTCCTGAAAATTGCAAAAATTCCTGAAAATTGCAAAATTCGCAAAAATTCCTGAAAATTGCAAAAATCGCAAAAATTCCTGAAAATTGCAAAAATTGCAAAAATTCCTGAAAATTGCAAAAATTCCTGAAAATTGCAAAATCGCAAAAATTCCTGAAAATTGCAAAAATCGCAAAAATTCCTGAAAATTGCAAAAATTCCTGAAAATTGCAAAAATCGCAAAATTTCCTGAAAATTGCGAAATCGTAAAAATTCCTGAAAATTGCAAAAATCGCAAAAACTCCTGAAAATTGCAAAAATCGCAAGAATTCCTGAAAATTTCAAAAATCGCAAAAATTCCTGAAAATTGCAAATATCGCAAAAATTCCTGAAAATTGCAAAAATCGCAAAATTCCTGAAGATTGCAAAAATCGCAAAAATTGCAAAAATTCCTGAAAATTGCAAAAATTTCTGGAAATTGCAAGAAATGGCAAAAATGACTGAAAATTGCAAAAATCGCAAAAATTCCTGAAAATTGCAAAAATCGCAAAAATGCCTGAAAATTGAAAAAATCGCAAAAATTCCTGGAAATCGAAAAAATCGCAAAATTTCCTGAAAATTGCAAAAATCGCAAAAATGCCTGAAAATTGCAAAAATCGCAAAAATTCCTGAAAATTTCAAAAATCGCAAAAATTCCTGAAAATTGCAAAAATCGCAAAAATTCCTGAAAATTGCAAAAATCGCAAAAATTTCTGAAAATTGCAAAAATCGCAAAAATTCCTGAAAATTGCAAAAATCGCAAAAATAACCGAAAATTGCAAAAATTGCAAAAATTCCTGAAAATTGCAAAAATTGCAAAAATTGCAAAAATTACTGAAAATTGCAAAAATCGCAAAAATGCCTGAAAATTGCAGAAATAGCAAAAATTGCAAAAATTCCTGAAAATTGCAAAAAATCCTGAAAATTGCAAAAATTGCAAAAATTCCTGAAAATTGCAAAAATTCCTGAAAATTGCAAAAATTCCTGAATATTGCAAAAATATCAAAAAATGCAAAAATCGCAAAAATTCCTGAAAATTACAAAAATCGCAAAAATTCCTGAAAATTTCAAAAATCGCAAAAATTCCTGAAAATTGCAAAATCGCAAAAATCCTGAAAATTGCAAAAATCGCAAAAATTCCTGAAAATTGCAAAAATCGCAAAAATTGCAAAAATTCCTGAAAATTGCAAAAATTGCAAAAATTCCTGAAAATTCGCAAAAAATCGCAAAAATTCCTGAAAATTGCAAAAATCTCAAAAATGCCTGAAAATTGCAAAAATTGCAAAAATTCCTGAAAATTGCAAAAATTCCTGAAAATTGCAAAAATCGCAAAAATTCCTGAAAATTTCAGAATTCGCAAAAATTCCTGAAAATTGCAAAAATCGCAAAAATTCCTGAAAATTGCAAAAATCGCAAAAATTCCTGAAAATTGCAAAAATCGCGAAAATTCCTGAAAATTGTAAAAATTGCAAAAATTCCTGAAAATTGCAAAAATCGCAAAATTTCCTGAAAATTGCAAAAATCGCAAAAATTCCTGAAAATTGCAAATATCGCAAGAATTCCTGAAAATTTCAAAAATCGCAAAAATTCCTGAAAATTGCAAAAATCGCAAAAATTCCTGAAAATTGCAAAAATCGCAAGAATTCCTGAAAATTTCAAAAATCGCAAAAATTCCTGAAAATTGCAAAAATCGCAAAATTCCTGAAGATTGCAAAAATCGCAAAAATTGCAAAAATTCCTGAAAATTGCAAAACTTGCAAAAATTCCTGAAAATTGCAAAAATTTCTGGAAATTGCAAGAAATGGCAAAAATGACTGAAAATTGCAAAAATCGCAAAAATGCCTGAAAATTGAAAAAATCGCAAAAATTCCTGGAAATCGAAAAAATCGCAAAAATTCCTGAAAATTGCAAAAATCGCAAAAATGCCTGAAAATTGCAAAAATCGCAAAAATTCCTGAAAATTTCAAAAATCGCAAAAATTCCTGAAAATTGCAAAAATCGCAAAAATTCCTGAAAATTGCAAAAATCGCCAAAAATTCCTGAAAATTGCAAAAATCGCAAAAATTGCAAAAATTCCTGAAAATTGCAAAAATTGCAAAAATTCCTGAAAATTCGCAAAAAATCGCAAAAATTCCTGAAAATTGCAAAAATTCCTGAAAATTGCAAAAATCGCAAAAATTCCTGAAAATTTCAAAAATCGCAAAAATTCCTGAAAATTGCAAAAATCGCAAAAATTCCTGAAAATTGCAAAAATCGCAAAAATTCATGAAAATTTCAAAAATCGCAAAAATTCCTGAAAATTGCAAAAATCGCAAAAATTCCTGAAAATTGCAAAAATCGCAAAAATTCCTGAAAATTGCAAATATCGCAAAAATTCCTGAAAATTGCAAAAATCGCAAAAATTCCTGAAAATTGCGAAAATCGCAAAAATTGCGAAAATTCCTGAAAATTGCAAAAATTGCAAAAATCGCAAAATTTCCTGAAAATTGCAAAAATCGCAAAAATTCCTGAAAATTGCAAAAATCGCAAAAATTCCTGAAAATTGCAAAAATCGCAAAAATGCCTGAAAATTGAAAAAATCGCAAAAATTCCTGGAAATCGAAAAAATCGCAAAAATTCCTGAAAATTGCAAAAATCGCAAAAATGCCTGAAAATTGCAAAAATCGCAAAAATTCCTGAAAATTTCAAAAATCGCAAAAATTCCTGAAAATTGCAAAAATCGCAAAAATTCCTGAAAATTGCAAAAATCGCCAAAAATTCCTGAAAATTGCAAAAATCGCAAAAATTGCAAAAATTCCTGAAAATTGCAAAAATTGCAAAAATTCCTGAAAATTCGCAAAAAATCGCAAAAATTCCTGAAAATTGCAAAAATTCCTGAAAATTGCAAAAATCGCAAAAATTCCTGAAAATTTCAAAAATCGCAAAAATTCCTGAAAATTGCAAAAATCGCGAAAATTCCTGAAAATTGCAAAAATTCCTGAAAATTGCAAAAATCGCAAAAATTCCTGAAAATTGCAAAAATTCCTGAAAATTGCAAAAATCGCAAAAATTCCTGAATATTGCAAAAATATCAAAAATTGCATTACGAACGCCAAAGTTGATACACTCCCCTCGTAAGGGTACCTGACGTGATTCCTTTCACTCACATACATGAATGTCGACCAATTTTTCGACTGTTAATGAAATTTTTAGTAAATCGATGAAAGTCGGTTTTATGTAGTTCAAAGATGGATAGAACTATGATCTGTATTTGAGGGATGAAAAATTCAATGTTCATGATAAATATCTCGATATTTTATCTGTCTGGATAATGACATTCACAGATGTACAATTCCAATATCCTGAAAAAAAACTGTGTCATGATTTTCTAATTTCTCCATATATCATTCATTATAATGTACACATATAAATATTTTACCGCAATATTGTACCTTATCTGACTAGTGGAAACATGAAAGTGTAACACACCAATAAAAAATATAGTTTAGTGTGATTCATGGTTCTCCAATTTCCCTCAGATTTATGATATTTCAAATAACACTTTTCTATAGGACGATATTGCGTTTTGACAACTCTCTGCCTAGCAGCTGTGATGAGGCCGTCTGTACAGGGTGGCCTCTATTTCCTGGTATTTCTGAGCGCTGCCACTTGGTGGGCCTGCTACAGACCCCTAAGGAAATGTTTCGCCATAGTACTTTGCTGTCTGGTACCAATAGTCTTCATTCACATATGGACTCTGTATGCCTATCAACTTCCTTGGTCACAAGAATTCCTACCAAAACGTAGTCCGTATGCAAGGTTGGATGTCATAAAGCTGTTTGTAAATATTTTGTACTATTGATGAATGTTTTTTATAGGTATTTTGGGTTGACCCAGCTCGTGAAAATTCGCGATAATGACACCACGGTTGATCTCTTCGATAATGGCGATTCAAACGGTACTATAGTGGATGAGAGTGATCACAACATTACTGATGTCATGACTCTATTGAGTACTACTCTTAGTCCATTGAGTAGCACTTTGGTATCGGATGAACGAGAATACGTTTTTTCAAAGACTGAAGAATGGGCGTCATTTGTCAATCCTATTATTCTGTATATTTTGTATTACATTTTGATATTGGAAAGCAAGGAACTCCTGAAACCAGAGGTATGTTTGAAATTGATTTTAGTAGTGCAAACATGAAGTGTTACTAACAACTGCTTACAATAACGTAAATTCTAAATTTGAATGAAATGTATTGAGCTGATTAAGCATGTTTTCATTGTTATCATCATTGGGGATTATACAGCACTGATGCATTGAATTATCCTTTTGCTGGCGGTATTACCAAAATTGTTGACTTGATGTGTTAATTTTTTTGAGCATTGGACTTTTCAAATCAACTTTCTAAAAACGTTTCACCCCAGGCCCAGGTCTTTCCCATTCTTAATTATTTTCTACATTCACATTTTGGCATTTTTATTGAATAGTTCTGAAAAAAATCATCTGCTCAGAAATAAATTAGCATTAAGTCGTCTTCCCGACAACTTTTGAGGTGGTGATCGCCCGAACATATTTGTAGGACAAATATGTTGTCGGGGTTGCTATTGAAAAAGCCTAAAACCAATGTGTTGGTCAGTCATTTATCGTTATTAAAAAGAACTCCGACTAACTGATTATTTTTTTCTCTTACTCATAAAGAACCATTATCATTCTAAATGAAAACATAGTCGTTCGCGAGAGTTGTAATATTGTCTGGTCATTTACCCAAAATGTATCTGCCTGTGAATGTCGCTAGTTTACTGAAAACATCGAGAGCTCATCAGTTTCGATGCGATAACTTACAACAATAAACAACATCAGATAAGAGTTTACTTTTGAGCCGCATAGGTATCTTGAAATGATATAATAGGAAATATCGGGGATTTCTCGGGCTACAAGCAAACTACTTTATTGTTATGCCAAGCTTTCGAAAATTTTTATTTTCTTATTCAAGGTTGCAATGCGAGTTAAAAGGTATAAATTGGAATAATAATGAGTTTGAAAAAAATATAGATGATGTAGACATATAAATTGATCAATCAACTAGGCTAGCCAATCTAGTTGGACCATTTTGAGATACAATCTATTGGTACCTACTCAATCCGTGTGCATGTGTTCCGCTACTAACCTCTCCTTCTAACTAACCTCTTTCAGTTGGCACAGAAGCAGGGCACCTTCTCCCGATTGGAAGGTAGTTTCACTGGCGATTTGAGCAGACAGATGTCTCAGCGGTTGTCGAAACAGCAGTTGATACGTTCGACGACTACTAAAAAGAAATGGCAGAGCGCTACTCGAAAAGTCCGAGTAAGCTTGTTGTTTTCCGTCAGAAATTCTGAATGTTGCGCCTATCGAAAGTCGATCTCTTCCCCTTGTGCTGTATTGGGTCCAAATCAGGAAAGAATAGTTGATCTTTTCAGTCTGTACTAATACTTTTCGAAAATATCCTATTTGAAGATTCTGTTTAATTGCTTTAACCTAATTACTCAGTTATTTTATGGAATTTCAACAAAAGTGGCATTGGAGAAATTGTTGGAAAGTATTCTGAAAGAAAAATGACATGGCCATTTGAAAACAAAAAGCCACAACTATCTAGTATCATCGAAGACAGTGGTTAAATGATAGAAAATACGAATGTTTGTCATGAAAAGAATTGAAACACAATATAACATTAACATTATAGGAAATCCATCTCCTGCATCCAAAAGGTTGAAGTTGCTTCAATAAATTTGAAGCTGTTATAATTTCGAAACGTTTAAACAAATTCAAGTTTAATTTTTCTTACTTCTTGCTTCCTTTTTCCTGTATCCAATACATCATCTGGGGTAAAGAAAGTTGGGAGTCACATTTTTTGTTTTTTGGGTTGTCATTATAACACAACTAACATTATATGGGTATTTTTGGTTATGTTCGTTGATTTTCAATTATATGCTTTGCTTTTTTCATTTTATTTTTAGATTAATTTAGAACCAGACATTCGCCAAACTGAGCCTACTGAGAATACACCCGTATGTATTTATTTTCATATATTCTTTTCATTTTCTTTCTGTACCATTATTGCTTATTTTTAATTGACTTATTTTCTGTAAATGGTGTGAATGGTGATTTTAAAACATACTCTTTGATCATTTAAATTTCATTCAATTCTGAAATAACTGAAGATCCTCATTCACACTACAATGACTAAAATTACTAACCATCACTAACTATGGAGTTTCAAAATTCATAAAAAATAGCAAGCCAGGCTTACTTAAACATTTTGTGATTTTCAGTTAATTCGTGGAGTAAGTCCTTCGAAAAAACGAGCCGGTTCTGGAAAACGTAGTGGGATTTTCCAGGACTCGACAGGTAGTGCCACAGTGACAGGAGAGGGTGAAGAGATACCACTAGATGAATTCGGTAGGTACTTAATACTGGAAAATGTGACATAATACCTCAATGCCAATTTTCAGATGAAGGTCAAGCACTTGAAATATCTCTGTTTGAAAACGTCATGTATGGCCTGGAATCTATTCTCCAACTCATTGTACGGTCATCGTACATTGCTACCAATATAATCATGATGGTGAGTTGACTATCGTTAAAATATTGGGTCAACCAACGAAAACTTGAACCCCCCCTCCCCCTATACCTAAAAACCGAATCCTTTATCAGAAATCTCCGGGACCTGTCCATTTTTATACTTGGGGGAGCATTTTTGACAATTAAACGAACTTGATGTGTTCATCCCCCTAACAACTAGCAACCCCCACTTTGAAATTTGAAATGGAACTACCTTACTTTCAACACATCATTTCAAAGCCCTTTCTATTGCGAATTCTTTGGTGCATCGTTTTTGGAAATTGGTTGAGATTTGACAGAGTTATTGAACAAAACCAATACCTACTTGACAATTTTTGACAAACCGACATTATCGGTATTATTTCTAACCAAACTTGTCCATCAATTAAAATATGTTTATTTACTACATATCCACATCCCTCTTTTTTATTTTGTCGATAAATTTACCAAAAAAAAAAGTCTACAATTATTGAAAAAGCTGACCAAAAATTGAAGTTTCATTCAATGTATAGTTCAAGATGTACTTCATTAACCTGCAAACAATGTAACAAACTTTTTTTATTTCTATTCGAACATTACTGAAAACATATAACCTCCAGAAGTTAAAAAAAATGCCAATACCCACCTCCTATCCCTATCCTCCCTAGGAACGCACGATATTCTTTGATTCCCTTTCGTGTGGGAAATGGGAAATGATCATTAGAAAATTTAAAATAAATATCAAAATAATACTAATAAATATGTTTTTGTTTATAAGATGAAAAGCTTTTGATTAGTTCACAATCTTGGTAATAAAGTATAACGCGAATGTTAGTTATTTGACAATCATTGTCAGGTATTGAATTTGTTCAATAACTCTGTCAAATCCCAACCGATTTCCAAAAACGATGCACCAAAGAATTCGCAATTGAAAGGGCATTAAAATTATGTGTTGAAATTTAAGAAGAACACCAATTCCTACCTTATTTCCCTTGGTTCTCACGATGTTCTCTGAACATTACAGGATATCCCTTTTTGTGGGAACCAGAACAAAAAAAAAGGGTAGTTCCATTTGAAATTTCGAAGTTGGAGTTGCTAAGGGTTAGGGGGATGAATACATCAAGTTCGTTTAACTGTCAAAAATGCTCCCCCAAGTATAAAAATCGATGATTACCGGCGATTTCTGAGATGATTCGGTTTTATAGTTATAGGGGGTCAAGTTTTCGTTGCTATACCCTGTAAATATACAGGGTTGGCCAAGTCCGGAATTAAATTCAGATTATTTTAATCAGTAACATTCAATGAGAAATTCGTTTTCAGGCTTGGAGCATAACATACTTGAGTTGGATAACCTTCGTCCTTCTCATTTGGGCCAACCTAATATGGCTGGTACCCAAGCAAAGAAAAAACATGCTTCACTCCAGCCCATTCCTGGTGCTATACGCCTGGTTCCTTCTGATATCAGCCTACATATTCTCCATGAATTTGACGAACGACGAACTGCCTGCTGAGTTGGAGGGCTTCAATCTGAAGGAAATCGGCTTCGAAAGGGTCGGTAATTTACCGTGTCTACCGCTGATCGTCAAGTGTCTGTATACCGTGATGTTTTGGGTCACTTTGAGGCAGTACATGCAAGAACGCATGGAGGCTAGACAGAAAAGTGCCTTAGCGGATATGGTGGCGCCCCTGCAGGTCACCGTAGGGACTGCTGCAGGTTCGTACCGATTGTGACTTAATGAAGTGGGTTTGAAAAACATTGAGCTATAATTTTCATGGAACATAACTAGTAACACCTCACTCTCGAAGAATGAAACTCTTCATTTAGGAGGAATTATAGGTGCCAAGTGTTGGTACACTCTCCTCGTAAGACTACCAATCGTGTTTTCATGCAAAAAAAGCTTACTTATCGACTGATTATCCCTTTATATCAAAGAGCTTAGAATATCATTCATCATTGGCATGATAATACATGGTTTTCAAACTTGAGTCGGCACTATTGGGGTTTTCTTCCTGATATTCGTTATCTAATTCCGAATTATCTATCCGAATTATATAGAATCTAGATCTTAACTTTTGTCCAAATTAAATAATATTTCACTATACACACATAATACTTTGAAATAAGGAGTAAGGACAGAACATCTTTCAAGTTTCACCTCTCCGGCAAAAATGAGCAAGAATATGTTGGAATAAATTAAAATTTAACGTATCTTATCATTGTTTTTTAGGTGTAGAGAAAGGTCAAGAAAAGACCGGCAACAAAACATTGGAAAGATTTGGGCGATTGATGAAAAGATTTCTCACAAAATGTTGGATTTGGGTAGTGGCTACAACACTATTTGCAGTCGCTATCACTGGACAAAGGATGACTGGGTTCAGAATTGTCTATATGGCCCTTTTCATATTTTTCATTTTGTCTTTCCAGGTATGTTTGATAATCCATCCAAAACGTTTCATCTAACTTATTTTGGTTTTCAGTTTTCTTTCAGAGTTTGGAGGAAACTAATGTTCGCGTTCCTGTTAACTGTGATTATATATTCTATGATAATACTGGTACTTATTTATACATATCAGTTCAAGGAGTTTCCCTTATATTGGAAAGAATATATTCACCTACCTATTGAACAGTAAGTTTTTTTTATATTTACACTTGAGTGTCATAAATATTTCAATTAATAAAATATCACCTATCGGGCTGAAATCAATTCAGATTATGTATCTGTGAATAATTCTTGCCCTTTGATGAAATAACATAAATAAATCGTCAATATGTATTTTCTCATTTTTTGACCAAAGCTCAGTCATTCTTGACTTAGAGCAAACAGACTTCGTTTCAGTTTCATCAGACTGATTTGAACTTGATTAAAAATGGTGATGTCTTGTTCAGCCTAGGGTTGCATGAAGAACCCATGAGGAATATTTCATGTTTCATTTTTTAACATAAAAATATATACATCATGAAACCTCCCACGTGAAACACTTCCGAAAATCTGTCACTAAGGCAAGGAAGGAACTAGTAGTTTAATATTGTTTGATCATTTTTAAAACACACATTTCACACGGTGAATGAAGACAAACACAAAATTGACTCGTGTTAGGGTAGTAAAATAACGGTATTTCACCCCGACTTGGTGGTTTTTAGGCAAAAAGATATGGGGCTGGAACAATTCGAGACCAAACTACTGTTTGTGCGACTCGTCACTCCTACATTCTTCGTGATAGTGACGGTCATTCAACTGCATTACATTCATGACGATTTCATGGCTCTGTCGGACCCGAAGAACACCAGCGAAATAGCTGACGATGATAATGATGCGGAAGACTTGGAGCAGAGTTCTATGCAAGGAGGGGCCTTCATTGATCGCAGTCAAAAAGATGATTCTTTTTCTAGTGCCAACTATGATTTGTATGAGCTCGGAAGTAAGGATATAATTTTTTATCCAAGCGGCAGGGAAAGTGGAATTTCTCTGACATCTAACAGGCAGGAAAATTGTACTTTCTCTGCCTAGGCAGGAGAAGTTTGTTGCTATGCAATGTTCTAGGCAACATAAAATAATGAAAATATTTTGTTGGCAACACTGGAAATGAGAAGAAATGGTGAAGAAGACCATTCTAATCTTTTCTATATTGTGGTTAATATGATTTTCTTCTCCATTTTTTTCCGATATCCAATGTTATCAACATAAACTTTCGATTATTTTACGTTGGAACACTAAAAACAAGGACATATGGTGAAGACATTTTTTTCTCTCAAGGCTAGCTGAACTGCTCTATATTCAATGACAATATACAGGGGTTTTTACTATATGTCATTAGGAAGGTACTTCAATGCCATTCAATGCAATTTTTGAATGTTTCAATTACCTTGTCATAAGCGATATATTGACTTGGGACACCCGATATAACAAAATACGAAGATGTATTTCTCGGGCATTTCCAAAGGCAACATTGATTTATATCCAATTCCCAATATCAAAACTATAATTAAATTTTTTTAACTACAAATTCTGAAAGATGTTGTTTCAGTCACAAGTTGGCAAAAAAACCAAATTATTTTCAATTTAATATAATTTTTTCTGATCAATTTCTTAGGGTTCTATATTTCAGATAACGGAACCACAATCGTTTTTCACGAAAAGTACTGAAATATTCGTTTTTAGGAGTCCATATTAGTGCCTCTGATTTTGTTTAGAATTTTAAGATATATTTGAACAAATTCTTCTCCGACTTATACTCTTACAAAAATATCTTGAATGAGCGGATTAACCACTCTTTCAAAGTGAGATGAACTTCTGAATCGACTTTTTACCTAAAAATGATACTCTTGATTAGTTTCGATAACACGATAACGATTTCAAAAGTCTGCTACATAATAAAAATGCTACTTTTCCTTAATAGGGTACCTACCATAATATTTTTCAAATCAATCTTTATATTGTTCCTCTCATATTTTGAGTCAAACATCACAAGTAGATGTTGAGAAAAGGGTATTTTCTATCGAAAAATAATTCTTCTCAGCTACCTGCATCATGTCTTTGAGAAATGCATAAAAATTTTCAGTACTCATTGAATGTGTTCATTATTTTAGATTTCTCCTCGCTGCAGTTTCAACATTTAGCACAGTCGTGGCTGAAGAAGCTTTACAGATTGAAAAATCTGACGTTCCGTTTCTTGGAATTGCACATGTCCAAAGTGGTGCTGCTTTTCGCCATGTTGATGTGCATTCACGACAAGTGCGCCGTCTACATGGTCATCGTCATTCTGATATCGATGGCCTTCACTTTCGGAAGGCCAGTGCAGCTGTTCGCCATTTATTTGAGCTCTCTGCTCGTGTCTGTGCTCCTGCTGGCCCGAATGATATACCAAATCAAGTATATCACTCCGAAGAATTGGAACGTGAACTGCACGGTAAGAAACATGCATAGGTATTGCATAGAAAATTCCACACCAGTGATTTTTATACAGTTAGATTGGGTTTTTATGACAAATTACCATAGCAACATATGTATTTTAGTGGAAATTTCGTTCTCGTGGGTACCACTAGCGTATGAAATCGGAAATTTTTTCATGACGTTTTAACGACAGAATAATATTTTGACGTGCCACTTCAATTGGGTAGAAATCAACAATTAATAGGCTAATAAGAATTCAATGATGATATATGGTGTTCAAAATCAAGATTTTTTGACTTTGGGATTTTTTTTGTGTCAAAACGGCTTTCATGTCCCTATTTCAACTTTTGATTTACTATCTACTTAAATTCAATAATTGTAACATATACAGGGAACATATACAGGGTGATCAGAATTCTGAATCTTGAACTACCTTGTATTGTTCCAATTAAATGCCAGTAGATAGCAAAATGTGATTCATTTTGAACAATAATGAATAGTTTAGACACAAAAAATCCCAAAGTTGAAAAATCTCGTTTTTGAACACCCTATATCTCTGGGGTGATAAATTGAAAAAATCAGCTCTTCAGGAAGAATCAGGGTGACTCATTTGACTCATTTGAAAAAATCAACTAATACCCTGTAAATCCTGTATTTTCTGATGTAGCGGAAAAAATCTGAAAAACAGTTCAAATTTTTCAAATTCTGAAATCGTTCCAAAAATAAAGTGAGAGTGTAAGAAAATCAAGGTGAATAATTGATTGGTTTAAAAATTAGATTGTGTGAGGTATTTTCAATCATTTTTCCAAATTGCTTTCCTCCCTATACATACCTATAGTCATTATCATTCATTCAGTCATTCTTTTTTTCACATATTAGCCTATTTTTCTGTGATCAAATCAAGGTGAGGAATTGTTTGCTTTGAAAATTCGTTTTTGAGGTATTTTCAATCGTTTTCCCCAAATCGCTCCTCTCCCGAGCTATGTAAGTTTGTTTTCACAGTATAGTCATTCTTTCTCTTTCACTCATTATCTCCCTTGGGAATGAATTATTGCCGGAAATTTTTTGAGATGATTCTCTTAAAAAATTCATGTACGAGACCAATTTCCCGCAATTAATTCATGCACTTGGGGAATTCGTAAGAAAATCGTATACGGGAATTTTATTGAAATAGAAAACATTAAGTGAATATTTACTCTCCCTGTACCCCAGTTAGATAAAATTTATAGTATCAGATACATTATTATATAAAAATAATTGATTTCATATGATTTTCTCACTAGGTTTCCGGAAAATGAAAATTATTGTCAAAATCATTTCAATTATTTCTGTCATGTGCCAGAAAATTTCCGCTCATTAATGTTTACATGCTCATGCGAAGGAAAAACAAAAAAAATTTATTTGCTGGTTACCAAAGTAATAATGTCGAAATAAATCATCTGATTGATTGGTTGAAAATGACTGGTATGAAATTTTCATTTGAATCTATTTTTCTGTGAAGAAATCAAGGTGAAGAATTGATTCGTTTGAATATTTGATTTTACACAACTTTCTACTTTTCACAATCAACTCACTTACATGTTTTCTGGAAGATCTGGAATGCCGAAAATGTTTCTTGAATTTATATATATGAAGAGTATCACCACAGATTTTAAACAAGTTACACCAAAACACATCACTGTCACTTTTCACTGTCACATTTCACATTGTCTATAACAGTTAATATCCTTTCATCATTGCTTATAAGAATATAACGGTCAATGTTTGTAATGATTTTTCACTATAAAAATCATCCACTCATACTACTTGTCTGTGCCACTGCACGTTCTTTACTGCCTAATACAATCATAGATTTATTTCAACTATCTGTTATCGTTTATATAATTTCCTGGTTAGTCATCAACAGGTCGACATTCCTTCGTATATCTAAAGCGCCAGTATACAGGGCTGTACCTGAGAATTATAAACGTGAATTATAAACGTCTTTGAAATTGTTTGTATAGGGTGGTCGTTTCAGGATCAAACCCGAGTTGTATTTTTGAACAATTAATATTGAGCCGTTTAGTCAAGGTGCAGTCGGTTCGAATCCGGCTGAATGAATTGATACAGGGTGACCTCATGGTCGATGGCAGGTTAGACGTTTATGGAGAATGCAAAAAAGTTTCACATCTTATATTTCATCATCTGTATTATAGATCTAAATTATTTTCAAAATTGCAGCGGTGCCGCTTCTATCAAAAAGTCCTTTCAGCTTAATTTTTTCAATTGATCACCCTTATTGCAGTTTCAGATTCTCCATGAAGAGGTAATTTCATCAATATATCACACTTGGGGTATAGCTGGAATGATTACAGAGATATAGGGTGTTCAAAAACGATATTTTTCAACTTCATGATTTTTTTGTGTGGACCTATTCATTATTGATCAAAACGGCTTACATGCCACTATCTTAACTTCTGATTCACTATCTACTGACATTTAATTGAAACAGATACAGGGTGATCACAATTATAAATCTTGAACCACCCCGTACCCCCGTATTCGGTCCAATTAATTGTCTGTAGGGTATTAAATCAAAAGTTAAGACAGGGACATGTGAGCGGTTGTGACCAATAATGAATCTCGATTTTGAACACCCTGTAATCATTCTCACTAGACCCGCTGTGGTGGCAATAATATACAGGGTGATCCATTTTAATAAATGAAGTTGCTCTGACTTTTTGATTGAAGCGGCAACTTCGCAACTTGAAAATATTTCAGATTCATAGAACAGGTGATAAAATGTAAGATGCGAAATTTTCAGAAAAATCTATATGTAAACGGCTAACCTAACATCGACCATGAGTCTAATTTTGAATCTCTGACTTTTATGAGAACGCTATTGTAAGAGAGTATCGTATCCAGGAGCTACGTACCTATATGCCCTGTATAGTGCTTTTAGATTAATGAGTGTCGATCTATTGATGACACACGGGGTTATGCAAAGGGTGACGGGTATTTTGGGTAGAATTTATCGACGTATGAGTAATATTAGGTAGTTAAGAAGTAGCCGTGATACGGCTAGGTTGTATCTGATACCTATTGTGAATATAGTGGAAATCGTGGAGTACCCAGAGTGTTTTATTCTAATAACCGTCCACCAAGCTAACACTATCATATATTATCAATAATTGTGGAAATTTATACTAAATATATGAACTTGAATTATATTTTCAGGTGTCTGATAACCCCGATATGAACGAAACCACAGTGAATATATTTCCTTGGTTAGGTTTCCACAAAGCTGAAAATTCGGAAAAATCTCTGGCTGGTTTACTGAAATGGAACATAATCTACATTTTGGTGGTAACATTGTGGAGTGTCATTTTGGTTAGACAGTATAACTACAGGATGTCCAGAGGCAGGCCTACCACTAGGGCGTTTTTCATGTTCCCAACAATCACCAGGGACGATGCCGATAAAAGTTTGACACATTTCTCCAAATATATGGCGAATTATGGATTCTACAAATTTGGTGTGGAGGTAAAACTGGAATGTTTATTTTGGATTTGATGTGCATTGAAACAACAATCTATTTACAAATTATTTTGGTATGATACAAAGATTATCCACTTAGGGATGTCAGTGAGTCGGAAATACTATGAAGTTATTAATTTGAGAAAAATTTCACTGATATTGTGCTAATTTTTTCTCTTTTTTAGATTTCTCTTATTATGACAGTGGTCGTGATTGGAGCAAGATTTGATGCGTACTCTGTACTGTATGGAATTTGGTTGTGTACTCTCTTCTCTTTAGGAAGGAAAACTCTATCGAGAATTTGGGTGTTCTACTTGATTTTCATTGCAGTGGCCTTACCATTTCAATATTTCATGGCCGTAGGTCTACCTCCTCCATTGTGTCAAGGTATGAAAGTAAACATCATTACAGTACCATTCGGTAATGTTGATCGTGAGGAAACTAAACTTTTTTTTTAAATGCTGTCCGCTGATTTTCTGGGTTGGCGAATCACATGAAAGGTCCTGTTGATTTTCCTCACGATCAAGATTTTTATTTTGCACCATTCGACGGGCCTGTAAATCCTAATCTTGTAAATGATATTTCAATAGAACAAAATTTGGTAACTCGCGTTATAGCTGCTGAAAAATACAAAATACAAATGTCCAACAGCCATATTTCAGGGTAGAATTTTTTATATCCACGCTTACGTCTCATATGCTTCACCATGTTTCGTTAATGAAGTTGATCAATTTATCAGGTTTTTATATGACAACAGACCAGGGATAGATGTACAACCTTGTTTTAGATCTGTTAAATAGATGTTGTATATAACAAAAGAAGATAAAAGGCCTTCCTTTATTTCCTTTGTTTGAGCTCCATTTTCAAATTTCCACCACTGATTTTTTCTTTACGGGGTTAATTTGGTCTTTGTAAATTTTTTCAGATTTTTAGAGTACCAAACAAAAATTTTCATTTTCTTAACTCACCTATACTCATACATTGCCAAAAGAAGCACTTCGAAGTACCGCTGCTCCTTTATTTTCGAAAATTTTCAAATTTTCACCATAGATTCTTTCTTTACGGGTATACACTTCTACATTCTTCAGCTTATTATTATCGTTCTCAACATACTTACTATGGCTGAAGATGGGATCTGAGAGTCTGCAATGGATTCTCACCACAAAGATTTGAATTGTTCCTGTTTTTATTTTCAGAGTTTCCTTGGGACCACCCCATACTTTTTATGAAGGGGTTACAAGATTGGGCATTCCTTCCCGATATCTACAACCCTCCACCTGTCGAGAAACTCATATACGATTTTCTCCTACTCGTCATAGTTTCTCGACAGTGGGTTGTGTTCAGAATCGAGAAACGATACGAGCACAGCAATTACGCAGGTGGTTCTAATGGAAGCATTATACACCATGCAGAGGAGCAAGATTTCGTTAATCCTGTTCCTGACTTCATAACATACACCAGGTAGGAACTTTTTTTCATCACTAGTCTTACAACCTACCATTACTAGCAAGGTAGCTTTTTCATCCCATTAACTAGTGGGAGATGTCTAGTGGGGTAAAAACTTCAATAAAATATCATCACAAATCATTTACCTTTCTCAATGACTATTCAGGGCATATAGAAACAGAGTTTCGACCTCATTACTAACCTTACTAGAATACCACATACAGCTGAGTGGCTGAAATTATTGACTGTTGAAGTTGACTGCCAAACCTAGCTGCGAAAATTCATTTGGATCAAGTCGGAACACATTCCCGAAGAATTAAAAAAATGAAAAATTATTATTGTTTTGGAATTGAAAGGAATAGATGGAATATAGAAAATTCCAGGCACATTTTTGATTAATCATACAAAACTAAAGCTATGAATTGTTCTTCAAATTTTCTTTAAGAATGACAGTCAGGGATATGATGAATCAAGTTCCTACATTTTCTACTCATCAATTTCATAATAGATGAAAAGGAAAGATTTTGACATGCGGTATTTCCAAGACATCATCATTATTTTCAGGTCGTACCTGGATGTTCTGAAAAAGTTAGTTCTTCAAAGTTTCCTGTGGATCACTTTGGCCATCGTATTTTTGGCTGGCACCAACAGGGTGAATATATTTTCCATTGGATACCTACTCGGAGCGTTCGTTTTTCTATGGCATGGTTCGGATTTCTATTTGAGACCTATACCGAAAATACTGAGACAGTAAGTACAAGAAGAATCGTAAACTTTGGAATTATAGTGGCTCCTGTATATTATTGGTCGACTCATTTTTTGTTGTTGCTAATCTACAACATTATCAGTATGTTGCTTGTTTGACCAATATGGCGCATCTCCATCATCGTGACGTTAATCAATTCTCGACTGAAACTAGCAACAAAAAACGAATACTGAGAGTTTCCGAGATTTATCCCGTTTTCAAGGTGGCAAATGCAGTTAGTCTCGATGAAATTCATCGTGCTGGTTCTGAATGGTCGGTTGCGTGCGGTGGTCTTACGTGAACAAATTTTGTTAGTGCGCTCTGAGCTACATTCATAAACAAATGTTGTTACCTCGATTGTCATGACCTCGGCTGCTACAAGAAATTTGGCAACACAGTGGCTATTGTTAACGATGTTAGACTTGAACATCTCTGTGATGTCGAGTTGCGAGTTTATTGCCGTTATTAATGATCTTGCGTGAATAAATTTTGTTTCTGCAAATAAATAAACAAAGGCTGACAGCTGACTTGACCTCCAACTTTAGCAGCGGCATCTGCTACAAGCTTTCTAGATTACCTATGATCAATATCTCTTTCAAGGTGTCAAAAAATGCAGTCAGGCTTCAACGTCTCAGTGATATTCATCAAGTGCTAGTTCCAACTGATCAGTTTTAGCGTGTTTATTGCCATTTTTATTGATGTTACCTTACCGAAGTTTATCAGTGCGAATAAATGAACAAAGATTGGCAGCTGGCATGATCTCTAACGGCACATACTGCAAACGAATAGACAGAGATTGACAACTGACATGACCTCCAACTTGAGCAGCGCCATCTGCTTCAAGCTTTCCAGCTCACCTACGCTCAATATCTCTTCTTGAAGGTGACAAATATTAATAATAACATTTATTGATGCCAAGAAACATACAATGTTTATAGAGGGAAACAAAAAAAAATATATCAAATATGCAATACAATGAAAGATAAACAGTTCAATCAGAATTAATTGATACAAGGGGAGAGTTGAATTGATAAAATATATTTCTTCAGTTCACACTTAAATTTTGTGACGAACCTAATAGATTTTATTCTGTTGGGTAGACTATTATACATATTGATTCCACAAAAATACAATGATTTTTCCCGAATTGGGTTTTTATTTTGACAGTCTTCAAATGTTTACTTTGTCTGGTGTGATGCTAATGGGTATCTGATTTGATATTGAAAGTAAGATTCGAGTGCTTTCTCTTATTTTTAGTGATGAATGAAAATGCTTACTTTCATGTTGAAGAGAGAGTCAATATCTAGCAGATCCCTTGGTTTGTATAGTCTAAATGTTAATTCCAGAAATAGTAGTTCGTAAATAAATTTTATGGCTTAATTTGAAGAGATTGGAGAGGTTTCAAAACAGATTTTGGTGTTAGGTTTCAACGTGTCGGTGATATTCATCAAGTGCGCTAGTTCGAATTGGGGATTTTCTGTTTATTGTCATGAAGAAATTTTGTTAGTGCAAATACACAAACAAAGATTGACAGCTGACATGACCACCAACTTTAACAGCGCCATCTGATTCACTGATTCAAGCTTTCTAGATTATCTACGATTGACCTACGATAGCTTTATCCCTTTTTCAAGGTGGCAAATGCTGTTAGGCTTCAACGTAACGCTGATTTTCATCAAGTGCTGGTTCCAACTGATCAGTTTTAGCGTGTTTTTCGCCGTTTTTATTGATGTTATCGAATAAATAAACAAAGATTGGCAGCTGGCATGACCTCTAATAACGTAACAACAGCGTCATTTGCTCTGAGCTCCTTTGTAAACAAATTCTGTTACTGCAAACGAATAAACGAAGATTGACATCTGACGTGACCTCCAACTTTAACAGCGCCATCTGATTCAAGCTTCCTAGATTATCTACGATTCACCTACGATAGCTTTATCCCTTTTTCAAGGTGGCAAATGCTGTTAGGCTTCAACGTAACGGTGATTTTCATCAAGTGCTGGTTCCAGCTGATCGGCTGCGTGTTCCTGCACAACATTCCGATCAGCTGCTGCTGGCTGGTGCAGCTGCTGGGGATCGGCTGCGACAAGAAGTTCGGAGTCGACGAGGACGTGGTGGACGAAACGGTGCCGGAACGCTGCATGGTGCCGGAAGAGTACATGGGCATGGCTTGGGACGGGGTCTGTTTCTGTCTGCTGGTGTTGCAGAGGAGGATTTTTAATAGTTACAATTTCTTTCACATCGTGGACGATACGAAGGCGACAACTATTTTGGCGTCGAGAGGTGAGTTGTACTTTTTGATGGATTGACTGATTTCGGCGTGAAAAGTTTAGTTTTGTTGCGTTATTGTACATTTTGATTCGGTTTTTTTCATATTTACACACCAGCTGACGGCCGAGATTTAAATTGCTTAGGAAATGGTTTTCGTTTTTCCAGGTGCTGAACTGATTGAGGAAATCAGGTTGAAAGCTATGAAGGAGCAAGATGACATAGAACATAAAGTTTTAGAAAAAATCAAGATGAAAATGGACAGAATCAAGGCAAATCAACAGAAAATACAAGGTGATAGAGTTAAATCTACTCATTACGTAGGTAAGTCAACCTGTGGACTAATCACTAGGTACAAAACTTCACTTCTGTATTTTTTTTTTTTTTAGTTTTCATAATTTATTTCTTTTATTTTTTTGATATATCTGAACACATCAGGTGATTAATCCATTGGGTTTTTTTATTTGTTTGAGTGAAAGCTTCACTATTTTCCATAATTTCACCTGACAAATGTCTCGTTTTATTTTTTTCATCTTTTTCAAATGTGTTAATAATAACCCCCTCTTTTAACATCATGGTTACGGTATGAAAATATGTTGATGACAAATACTTATTTCAATAATGTACCTTCACCATTGGTATCTCCTTACCTCTAAAAGATACAGAGTTGCTCAATGAGCATGTCACAAAAAATATACGTAGGTGAACGAAATCGCATTTGGCTGTTTACAATAAGTTGATGTGGGTGTCCATTGGACAGTTCAAAATTCTTTAGATCCACTTTAGATCACGTTTTCAATAATAATCATCTGATTTTATTGTGGGTTCCTTGTTAAATCTCTTCACCATATGGGATCGAGCGAAATATCAGTTCAAAGAAATTACACATCTCTTCATTAGAATCCAGCTTATACTGTACAGGTCGTGATATAGTATCCTTCAGATATTTTTGAGTATTGGATCTATTAATCGCCAACAACAAAAACCCTCGCAAATTTTATATTATAAACTTTAAAGAAGAATTGATCATTAAAAATTACTAAAAGGAAAGTAGACGTATCGGTATACCGCCAGGAAATATGTCTGAACGCAATGGGATTGTACACACTAGTTGAATTTACGCCACCTAAGTATTTTACGAGTATATTGATCATTCCGAGTATACATAGTATCTGATGTAATCATTCGTTATTCAAAATCATCACAAATACTTTTTTCAATAATTAAAATCGACACCTTCGAAACACGCCAGTCTCGATGACGTCATCCATCTTCTCACGTGGGCATAGTGATATTTGTTGATATATTTCTCAACAACCAATGCGAGCATAACCACATATTTCGACTCTGCCAATTTAAAACTATAGTAATTACCTTATGAGATTCAATATTATCAACAACAGTATTCATATTCACACAGAAGCCAATGGTTCCACCTGGTTCCTAATAATCACTTATTGAATATTTATATATCTTCCAAGATGCTTCAGTACCAATAAGAATATCCTTATATTCCTAATAATCACGAGATTTCATTCAAAACTGAACTATTTTGTGGAATATCAAGAAAATACAAGAATTCTAACCTAATTTTCTAACGTTTTCCTCGTCTGTCACGAATATTCCAAGATAATCCTCATTATCTGATTCTTCCGTTGTGTATTGTGTTATCTGCAGGAAGTATTCAGTCCAGCGAATTATTTTCTTATTTTGAAGAAAGACAATCAAAAACAAAACAAAAATGTACAGAGCTCTGAGGAAAAAACGGTTTGTGACAGTGGACTAGTTGGGGATAGTACTTCGAAATGATAAAATTAAATTGTTCCCTGAATCAGGCCCATTGAACAATGTTCCTGTCCCCTCTTAGTGCTTTACTATTCCCCCAGACGGCCAACAGCGCGCCAAATCGTCCTCCGTCTCCTCCTGCACGTCGGCAACGTCGCACTCCACCCCCGCCGGCTATCACACGCCCATCGACGAGGAGGAACCCGCCCCCTTGACTCCGCGCAGCTCCTCCCTCCAGCCGCACGCCCCGCCCTCCCCCTACTCCGCCGTCATGACCGTCTCTCTCGAGGCCTACCTCGAGCCGCAACGCATGTCCTTTTCTTCCCCTCCCACTTCCGAGCTGAACCCTCGCCCCGCCTCCGCCGATGACAGTTTTCCTGTTTTCTCCCCGCCCCCTTACAATGACGAGAGTTCCTATCCGGAGACGGTGGTGGAGCCTGCGGCGGTGGGGCGGAGGAAGTTGAGCGTGGCCGCCCAATCCAGTATCGGCCCGCCCTGGATGGCGGGGAGTTTCATCACGCCCAGGCAGAGCGTCATTTCCTATTCGTCGAGGTCGCCGTTGAGTCATCACGAATGTAATTCGGCGAGTTTTAAGGTTATGTCGCAGTACATAAGCTTCGAGATTTCACCTTTTTCTCGGGATATGTTTAAAATGTATGGAAGAGTAATGAGAAGTGGTATCGAAAGGGATTCGATAGAGGACTTCGCTCCGAGTTACCAACCTAAAGACCTTTACCATTGCAGTCAATTAAGTTCTGAAAATCTGTCCAGATATGATGAGATGTTCATACAAAAATTGTAAAAGAGACTCACCCTTTCCTAAAATGAAAAAAAAAACAACCGGTGAAGTGTCTCAAGTGTATGAAGCTGTGTGGAAATGGAAAATATAGTAGTTGATACCATAACTAGAAACACTTACATATGTAGTAAGCTTTTTTCTGGTAAATTCACTACTGATTCCTATCCTATTCCTCCAGACCCCGATATATTGAATGACGTAATCTATCAATCAGACTGACATTATTGATTGATATTGACAGTATGGACTGTGGCATGGACATAACGCAGATACACCACCATAATTTTCAACTAATCAGGTGAAATTCACAAAAACTAATATTAATAACATTAGAGTAATCAAACTTCCATAATGTTGCTTCTACAATGGTAGAGGTTCTTAGGTTGACTACTTGGAGTGAAGTCCCCTATTCTGTCAGTATTGAGGTTATGTCGCACTACCCAGGCTTCCAGATTGGTTCTTATTGTATGGTTTCTTAGGATACGACAGAGTGATGATGAATGGTAATGAGAAGAATGTAATTCGAGAAGTTTTAAGGTTATGTTGCAGTACATAGGCTTCAGATTGGTTCTTATTTTATGGTTTCTCAGGACATGACAGATTCATGGAAGAGTGATGAATGAGAAGAATGTAATTCTGAAAATTTTTAGGATATGTTGCAATATATAGGCTTCGAGATTTTTTTCGTTATTTGTTATGGTTTCTTAGGATATGTGTGAGATTTTTGTAAGAGTAATTAGGAGTGGTAATGAGAAAAAATGATGTTTCTTTTTGACAACCACTATGCACTCGCATGTATGTAAATTTATAATTGAACTTCAAAAAATTCACCCTTCTATTTTTCATTTCCAGAGACTATTCATTATCTATAGAAAATTCTAAACACAACACATGACACCGTTTTTGTACAATGATTTTTTTTTTGTTTATACAGATTCAATCTATAGTGGTAGACCAAAATATAGAGTGAAGCAACCAATTACATATAAAGAGGGTAATTTTCATAGATTTTTTTTTCAATAAAACTGTTTAAAGTGTGGATTTGTTCTTATAGGCATGCACTGTAATTTGTAGTTGTTAAATTTCGGTTTTGCTGTTTCTGCATTTCAGTATGTTTGTATATACACGGAATTTTCCATTTAATGTTGTACATTTTGGCACTATTCAGTATTACCTCTTGAATGCTATGCCATGTGAATAATCGTGCATCTATTATTTCTTAGTTTCCCAGAATGCGCATAAATGCATTTATGTTTTATTCTTATTACTGTCATGCAACTTTCACTTGTTATTTCATGGGGAAATCAACTTGTTAGACCTATTCGACAATATCTCGAAGATCTTGCTCATCATTTTCATCCATTTCTATTTTTTTTTTTTTCATAAATTCATAACATAATTAATGAATAATTATCAATAATCTAAAGTTCATTCATTCCATTGCAGCTCCGCATGTTATAACAATGTCTATTAGACGGAAGCTTTTCCAAACCAAATTCGTTTAATGGACCTATAGGCTAGTCATTATATACATTTGGTGAACTCATTGGTACACCTGAACTCATTGTTACACCAAGAATAATAAACTACAAAGTTTAACCAACCTAAGCTAACAGAACTTTTGGTGTTAGCAATATGTCATTCATTACAATTTTAAAGATATGTATATCGGAAATAGTTGCAAACTTCCTAGTTTCTGATGGTTTCTGTCTTTACTTTTTCCGAACCCACATGAATGAAAACTTCAGTTGTGAAATGATTGTCCTCTGTAATGACCAAGGACTCTAGTAATGACTAACCTATTATGCATGTACACTAGTAGAATTAAAATGCCCTATGTAGCTTGTTTACGAAATTCTTTCCTCAATATGTGGGTATTCTAACCTAATATTCTGACTTATTTTTATGCTTGTACTAACCCTTATGTGTTTGGTTGAATGCAAGCCTCATAACAAAAAGAAATCAGTTGTGAGCACCATATTTTTCCCTAGCAATCCGATCTGGTGACTACTACATGTTTGATGAACTTGAAGATGAGGAAATCGATTTGCTTCCTGAAGAAAAAGCAGTCGAAGAAGAAGACAGGCTCAGAAGACCAGACATGGGAGAGGTAATATGAGTCGTTTTCTGTGAAATTTTATAATTTCTCGTTTCCCCCCCCCCCCCCCCAACTTTGTTCCTACTCTGACTCAATTGCAATTCGAACAACTAACTTGTTTTAAATAGTTTCATATAATGATAATCATTATTCCATTACATGTTTTATGTTTGCCAAACAAGTATATGAAATAACACAAATGGTAACTATCAATATTTCTACGTTGCTTGGGGGTAATTACCCCCTTCACCCCATCCTGGATCCGTCACTGAAATATTATGGAGATTTCGACCTTTTGTTTAATTTATTTGGTGTTATGTGGAATGATTAAAATTGCAAATAGGTTAGCAACACAAAACTCAGATCTAGATGGCCAATACCATTATATTCAAGTGTTCCCTAACGTGGCTCAAACGGCAAATGGGAGCATGCGCAGTAGAGACGCGACCATGAATGGGGCGGCTTCAGAATTATTTGATTACCAGGTTTTTGTGGCTTTTTTGAAAGAGCGAAACATTGTGGAAAATGTATATATTTATTATGATGGATTCCTTCATGTTATTAGGAGTAATGTTTCTATGTTTCTCCTTCAACTTGAGTGTTCAATGGATAGAAATGGGTGAGCTAATATACAGGGTGATCCAGTCTATATTAGCAATGATATTAGCATCGTGGTTTATGAAAAAATATTTTTCTAAAGAAATATCTTTGAAGGAGATACATCCCTCTGAAGTCCAGTTTCAAAAATCATTTTCTTGCTATAATTTTTAGAACATAAATCAAAATTTGGTGCAAATACTTATGAAATGGTTACTCTGATATGCTCTGATCATTGTTTAACGCAGCGAAGTTTTGTCAAACTTGTCCAGTGAAGTATATATAGTGGAATTGTTTCACTTTTGCCGCCCTGTTTACTAAACCACTGAACATTTTTCAGAACTGAGATATTTTCCCAAATTACCTGTTCAATTCTCGAAAGAAAGGCACTTGAATTTCAGTTTGGGGCTTCGTTTACGAGTTGATTGAATATTTTAAATACCGAGACCTCGTGAAAATTGGATAGTTCTAGATATTTTAGCTTTGGTAATATAATAATGAGAACAAAATAGTATATTGTTTAACGAGCAGGGAATGTAGTAATTTCCCACGAGAATGAAGTTTGTAGTATGAGCCGTAGATGACTGCGAAATTTTTGATTTCTTCGGCTTGTAGCCATCTGATTTCCTCTTAAGTAATGCTCGTCTATAAGACAGAGCTGTCTTGGCTTGAAATTTGACATTTCATAGATGAGATTTTGTGAAATAATACCACAATGAAAGTCATTGTGATATCAGATACGGAAATAAAAATGATGACATGTATCTAACTATCTAAACTAGCTGTAGAAAGAATATATAATAGCACAAAGCTTGTTGACGATATAAATTTACTTGAAGTAAGACATTCCTGAAATTTGTTCTTTATCTTGACACCAAATCATTTATTTTGAAACTGGTTTACACAAATCAGTGATTTATTGTCAAATCAAATGAGTACTCTGTACTTATAAACTAAACAGAAAACACCCAAACTGGAGTAAAATACCAAAACTCTTCAATACCCTTAAATTCACTAACGTAAGACGTTTGACGCAAAGCAAAACACTGAAACTAATCCGGCTCTGTCTAAAGTTCACGTCAGACAAAATGAAAGAGGTACATTCTTACACAGTTGCCAGATGAACTCGTAAGAAATTAGAAGTTGATAATAATTCATCGATCTCTTGTTAGCCATTCAATTAATATCAGTGAGTATGAATTTTGTTGTGAAAATTGTATACACATTTTTGTGAAGCTGTTGCATCAGTTACAAAAAGTTTTATAAGAAATATGAACTACATGCTAATGCATAAATATGAGATTTGCGTATAAACATATATTACTGACAATGTTGCCGACAATTTGCGGATGATCACCATTGCCGTAAGCACACTGGTTGCATCAGATCTTAGCGATTTCTCACACTTGCATTAGCCTTCTAGGTCTTTGAGTTCTGTGGTTAGCAATGGAAGATTTTCATTTGGCTTCTGGACCTTTCGAGAATGCCGTGTGTGTTGAACGTTGTTCCGACTAACCCTCTTGCGTTTGTGTAGCTGCTAAGCACCGCGATGAAGGCGAACGTTAACACTGCGTTGCGTGCGAGTGCGGCCCTGCGCAGGCAGTCCAGCTTGCCGGTGGGCCGGCAAAAGTATGCGCGGTCCCAATTGTCCGCAGCGTTTTCCGCCCCTCCCACAGTGAGTTACTGAAACCGACTGTCGGACGTTTTGTGCGCTTCTTGCACCGCTCTCAACATTTTTTTCATGAGCCAAACACCCAGCTTCGATGTGAATCAGAGAAGTGTAAAGAATGATATGAATATTTCAAGTAAAGTTTATCCAAAACCAATTGGAGTGAATAGAGCCGCGCGTGCACTCCAGAAGTAACTGGTGGTGCGAGATATGCTCTGATTGACTTTGGATAGACTATAACAGCAGATTGTATGAAATTCGATCATGAAAAACTTCCGCAAGTCAATTTTTTCCACCACCAGCTCTTGTACGCACTATACTGGTATTTTATTCAAGATAACTACAAGTACACTACAAAGGTAGTTTAATACATTCTTTATGCAACCGACACTAAAGTCGTCCATTTTGATACCAAAATTAGCTCTTCAATTGACGTTTCAGTTACTGATACAAACACAGGTTGTTGCTAGGCATCACTTTCAGTTCCTAGGAGCTAAAGTTGAACTTTATATCCTAGGAACTAAAAAGGATCTACTAGATCATCAAGAATAAACCCATTTTTATGCTTGGTTATTTGGGTTGAGACGTATACCTGATTTGTTCTCGATTTCGTGTTTGAATAATCACGGCCAGCAATACTGTTTTGTCTCGCACAACGATATTCGACACTTCATTTGATTATCGAGCCAAACACAGTGGAATATGGAGAGAAATGAATAATCGCTATTATTATTGTTGATATGCTCACTAACCTAATATGTTCCACTTCTTTTTCCTATACCTGGCAATGGCGCGGTATTTGCTATTAGAGCAGACACCTGGTCCAAATGAATTCATCGACTCAATAGAATACACAAATGGGTCACTCTGTGGTGTGAATCTGATCTGTAAATGCAGGTAGAATATTCTCACCACACGAATTATTTTTTGAATTGAATTCGTACCTGAAGTATTTGATGATGCATGTCAACACAAATTGTAACAAAGTAAAGTCATCGTTCACCAATATTCTAATGTGAAGTAGTCTGATGTCTTGCTTCTATCTACTCACCTATATTATCATAATGAAGGTATTAGAATAATCTGTCAAGTAAGTCACATTGGTGGTTACTTCACATATTTATTTTAGTCAATTCTTTCGGTTGCAGAAAAAATAGTATGTTTTATTCGGATCAAAAGTGACTTTGTTTGACTCGCAAATGCAACTTGTCAAACAAAGTGTCACTTTTGATCCTAATAAAAAAATCTACTGTTTTAACTACCTCACTATTATTAATCTGAATGAAATACAAAAACTGTATGAGAAAACAAAACTCATCATAAATCATTTAGCTTCCTCAATGGATATTCAGTACACACAGTACTGACAATCAGTACCTATATTTTTCTAGTGCAGGAATTTACATCTCATTTATTTGCTGTTCCAACTGGGACTTTCTGAATACGAATTTCCTTCGAATATTCACCATTCTCTACACTTATCGATTCAAGCTTTTTTTTGTTACCTCTACTTGCAGATCGGCCGTTAATATATCAAATAATAACGTTTCCGACTAGTAGCAGCTACATTTTTTTGCTCCGCTCTGGTTATAAAATGACGATCGTACTCTCCTGTGTAACGTTATATATTTTTTGTCTAGATCGATGAAAATGAACCGAGAAATGTAAGAATCCAGGAACTTAAAGAAGATGATGGACAACCAGGGACCAGTAAGGATGAAGATTTCAGTGAATTTACTGATGTGGGTGAGTGATTCTTTTGGGAACACATGATATGCAGATTTTTCTGTCGATTGTTTTTTCATTATTCATGGAAATGTGTACGTGCATTGCAACGTGAGATGATATCAACCGTTTAATTAATTAATCTCAACTCCAAAATGTCAATTGAATCTTTTCTTACTTCATATTTAGCTTTCAATATTACTGAAATAAATCTCTGCTACTAGATGATCAACGTTTTTCACTTGATCGATTTTTTTCAGAGCCCAACATATGGAGGAAAATTTTGTCATGGCTTATATTCATCTGGGCTTTTGTAGAGAGCGCTATGGTTAGCATGACTCGGTTCTTGAACAGGCATTCAAGTAACTACAGATATGTACTGAGAGTCTTAGCAAAGGAAAAGAGAACACTCAAGGTTAGTAAAATAAACATGCCACATGATCTCATCCGTTTTAATCTGTTGTTGAACACATTCCGAATATTTGAAGCAAACTTTTATTCAAAATAAAATGTTCAACATTGTTGTCTCCACATTTATTGACTAATCTGTAGTTGCTCTATGGTACATCATTGAAAGAAAATCGTAGTACTTTTTAATCTATTGTTGAACACCTTCCGAAGATGATAAGCAAACTTTTATTCAAAGTAAAATTTTCAACATTGCCTCCTCAACATTTATTGAGTAAACTGTAGTTGCACTATGGTCCATCATCAGCAAGAAAAGTGCGAAGAAAGACAATCATAGTACTCACGTGGAGAGAAAAATACTTTCATTGGACAAATATTCAAAAAAACAACGATACATGGTTCTTAGGCCGACAGGATTCCTTTGTATTGTTTTTTGAGTCATCGTTAAGGATTTACCACCTCTGTGAATTCTTTATTTTAATCGATTTTGAAAAACTTCTCGTTTTGTTGGGTGGATATTTGAGATGCGTTCGACAAGTAGGTATCTTCATCTTGAGTCTGTAGCTCAACTGATTTTATAGGCTCAAATTTCAAATAATACTTTTGGTACGACGGATTCTCTGCCAAAAACGTTATGAAATAATCAGTACCACACAATGTGTCATTTTTGTTTTGTAAGCTTAATATGCATGTTTTTTTTTTAGGAGAAAACACACTATAATATTGGCCTGAGGGTAGGTCCTGGAAAAATCTGGCAACCAGCAGGGTCCTACCACAGTTTATTACGGCATTCTGTGTAAGTACACAATCCCCTAACAATTATATGAAACTTTTTTCGTAGTGTAGTTTTTGTTAGCAGTAGTGTCTAGAGTAGTGATTTTTTATATCTAGTGACTGCTCAGCGATGCTGTCAGAATCTACCCCCGCGATATACAGTCCGACCGGATCCTACAGATTGGCAGTGGGGCTGCATAGGTCTGTTCAAACGATTGCACACTCACTTTTCAATACAGGCACCCCTTTTCTTGTCGAATCATCTGTTTCTGTACTACTTCGGTGACTTTCTATCAAATAATCACGGTTCCTATGAGATTCTCATTCCTTTGAACTTGAAAAGGTATTCTAAATTATACCCCGATTATTTATTTGTTGGCAACGCTTCATTTAAAGATATTTCATGGTGCCATCTACTGGTACCAGCGTGAATTAATCTGATTTTCTAATTTCATGGCCTTTGGAGGATTTCTGATGAAATCTGAAAATGTTTAAGGCCACTAAGCAACAAACAATATAAAACTCGAACACAATAAACTAATCACTCTACTAACTGATGATGAGAATTATTTTGTAGTGCTAGCAAAATTAATGTTCGGCAACACGAGTTGTTCTGTGGAAATGTAGATTCGCGCTGAAACCGATTAATTGGCTGCGAAAAACTAGCTCTGAATTGAACATTTACCGATGAAAACATGAACAATGTCTATCTCTAGCTTGAATATTTTAACAATGCTGTTGATATTATTATGATATATAGTTAATCATAGAACAAGTACGGTAGGTGACTGTTTAGCACAGGACGTGAACATTGTAGATAACAAGTAGTCAAATCTAATAACACTAAATGCAATAAAATCAGTTTTCTCCATAATCATTCTTGACTAACTGAAAAATCTAATAGAAATATTCTTTTGAACATTGAATTTAGGGGATTAGTTGATTGATTGATAGCAAATTACTTCAAATGAATGAGTATCTTATAAGTAACTGGTTCGTTTTGACAATGTTGCTAGTAAGATACATTTTGATGGTTTGTGATATACAGGATGAACTCCATTCACTGTGACAGTGATGATAAACCTCCGATGAGTGAAGAAAGCGATACCAAGGCGTTAGCGACATCTCCAGAACTGGATAGGTATTGAATGTGTCTTGCATTGTGTAACTTTTCGAATATCATAATTATATTATAGTTAATTCCATTCGACACATTTCTTCTCGAAATATTCTTTTTGAGAACTATTGGAGGAAACAGATGTTTGTTTGATTGGTTTAGATATTTTTTTTCGAAAGTGGAAAGCTCATTTATTTTCATTTGAATTTGATAACCAGATGACCTAAAAAATTTCGTACAAGAATAATTTTGAGGAATCTAACAATAGTTGGAAGTGTTTAGCTACTCTTAGAATCCAATTACAGAAATTGTATTTTTATCATGCAAAATAGTCTGTAAATTTGGTATTTTCTCTTTTAATAATTGAAAATTCTGAAGATTTTTCAAGGTTACTTACCTTTGAAGTCATCAATTTTGTGAAATATACTGATTCCGCATTAACTTTTTGAGTTAACGTCCTCCGAATTTCTAGGTAAAAAAAACATTTATGCTGGAATGTGCTTGAAATGCAGTTATATAATGACTTTCCCGACTTAATTACCTCGCAAATTCTTTGTTCGGACTAAATAGTCTTTAGATTCTGTAAATGATTGGTAACCATCATGCGTAGAATGTTTGTCATCAGTCACCGAATAATGAATCATTACACTTGTTGGATCATAATGGTTTGATATTCCTATGGTAGGAAAATTTGTCTTATGTTCATTCAGAAATGTCAGTAGCGACAAGTGGGTTCTGACTTTAAAATGCAGCAGGCTGAACACTTCCATTTAGCTTCATTCCTCATATTAATTTCAATGTTACAATTTAATTCTTGGGAAAATAGTAATTTCTTTCAACATCCCAAATGAAATCATATACAGCGTGATTCAGATTTAAAGGCACAAACTGAAAGGGGTGATAGTTTCTACCATTTTCATCATAAAAGTTTATATAAACATAAGGCCGATCTCGATCAGAAACGGAACTACAGGGGGTCGAAGTTTGAATTTTTTTTATCAATTGATATATTTCGCTCACTTTTGAAGATATCGAGTAGAAATTGAGTGTAGTTGATACTTCCTAGAAGATCATAATTTTAAGCATCTTTTGAAAACTACAGGGTGATACGTTTTTTGGGGTAGAGGTTTCCTTATCCCCCACAAACTTTCTCGTTGTTTCTTCCAGTAAGAAATTGAATATATCGTTCAGTTCAGAGGCTTTTCTGCTTCTCAATGTATTTCGAGAAACCAACCGTTTTCGAAATAAATAAGCATATCCGTTCCAAAAACATGTACCAAAACCAGAAACTGGATCAGTAGCAGGGATACGAAGGGTAGAAGGTCAAGGTTTTTTCGTTTTTGAAGTTGGTTATATTTTCTCCTAGAATAAAAGTTGAGCAAAACGTAGGCAAATTTAACATGTTTCAGAACATATATGCTTATTTATTTCGAAAACAGTTCGTTTCTCGAAAAAAGTTGGAGAGCCATAAAAGTCTCTAAATTGAACAATTCACATAATCCGGTGACTAGATGATGTTAGAGGGGTACTACGAAAACGTTTGGGGAGGGGGGGGGGATAACGAAGCCTGTACCTCTAAAAATGGATCACTCTGTAGATTTTGACAATCTTAAAAATGGTTGAAATAATGATCTTCTAGGAAGTAACTACCTCACTGAATTTCAAATTGATAACTTCAATAGAGAGCAAGATATTCTAATTAATAGAAAAAAATAATTATTAATCTTTGACCTCTTGTAGCTCCGCTACTGATCGAGATTGGACTCATGTTTACATAAACTTTTTTGATTAAAATGATGACAGCTAACACACATTCCAGTTTGTGCATTAAAACCTGAATCACCCTGTATAATATATGTAAACTATATTTAAAATGTTTTCTGAACATTGGAATTGGATCAGTCCAATACGTGGTTGGTAACTTTTTACTTATTTTCGAGAGAAATGTGAGAATGAGCGTGTTTCTGATAAATTTCGAGTAGAAAGTGGAGTAGTGTTGGCTGTACGCCTGTATATGTTGCCTGTAGGCGCAAGGCGAGCGTACTCACGGTTCCCGAAATTCGAATTTTGGCCGCCAGTCTGGAACGTGGACTCGATTCTCCATGTTCGTCAAGGTAAAAGGAACAGAGCGCACATCCGTGCTTCTAGCTTGTCGCTTTCCCAATCGTCAATTTTGCGTATTACTTGGTTTTATTCAGTCTAGCATCCCCCACCTTATATTTTTGGCTGTTATTCATTTCAGGAATGTGTTTTTTTTTAATTACTTTGTTTATTGATTGAGTATGCATGAGTGTTCAACCTCTTGGAAGATTTGATGAATTCTTTTCATCGTTTGGATCTCATGAAAGGGAACCCAGGGCGTGTCTGGAGTAGCAACAGATTAAATAAACTTCGGAACATTGTATAACTTTGTGTTTGAGGTGTTTCAATCTCTAAAATTAGCACAGGGAATTTGAGTTGATGGTTATATCATCAGTAGTCATACTGTAGACTTATGATCTTTTTTTATCCGACAACAATGGGAAATAATCAATGTTGCATTATTCATACAAAAATGAGAACTACTTTGTGACCTCATAGGTACTTTTTCAGAAATTTTCGATGCAGTGGAGCTGTAACTGCAAAAGTATGTTTGGAGAAAAATAATTTTACTGTTATATTTCCTTTCTTGATTCGCGTTAGAACCATTCTCAGATACAATATTGAAAAGATCTTGGTGTCACTCTCGAACGTCACTTGTATTATTTCATTATGAAACCTCTGTATATAATATTGCATACAGAAATTCTTGATATGATTGTACGCACATTCAGTGTTTTTCATTTCCATTCGCAATATCAGTTTATGAATTATTAAATTTTTAATTTCTTGCTGTCGATGTTTTTAATTCTGGTTTTCAAGCACTTCAAAAATCAATGAATCCTTCAATCACGTCGATGTGCTTCAATGTATCCGAATTCAACGATCTCACCCGATAATATCGAAACACTAACCTCTTTCAGGAGAACCTCTGTAAATCCAGAAATCACCAGGATGTCTTTGGACTACGGAGAAGAAATGTCATCTTACGATCAGCCGACCATATTCCGGTTACTGCTGGCCGTCTGGTACATCATTATGAGCAAATCCGATGTTTTATGCTATTTCGTGATATTCCTCAATCAAATAAAAAACGCGAACTTCATCTGTCTACCTCTACCCTTCATGGTATTCTTCTGGGGCACCCTCACCATCCCTAGACCGTCGAAAACCTTCTGGGTCACCATCATCGCCTACACGGAAGTAATAGGTATTGATTCATTTATTTCCTAAAGAATATTTCAGTCAAGTTATACATTTGTATTTGCGAGCTCAATAGTTATTTAACCAACTAGTGTAATAATGAGGGCGATCAATGATCTCGCTTTCCTCGCACGTTAATGTTCACTATTGGAGAAATTTCAATGTATATAAATAATGAAACTACTATACATTCATAACCTGTCAGCATGAAGCAAACTACCATCAATAATTCCTACTCCAACACGCCGATTGAAAACGAACTTGTCACTGACATTAGTGACATTTGACATTTGTCGAAATAATCAACGTAGAAAATAAATTCATTTTGTTAGAAAACAGGGATCAAAATTATTTCAGAGATATTGAAAGACTAACCCGTTAACGTAAAATCTTGAATGCAGATTCAGTAAATTATAGTGCCAACAGTAAATGTAAGCGGTGTATGTTTGGTTGCCTATAGTACAATCATGCATTAATTGACAAATTTATCGTTAATAGGGGTCATTAACGATCAATTTCATAAACATCACTCGTACTCGTTAACATGAGGTCGACGGAAAGTGAATGTTATATTTATGTTTTTTGTTGCTTCGGACCGTAATCTAATTTTTTGTCTCTTGTAGTGCTGCTGAAGTGCCTGTTTCAGTTCGACATAATGCCGGGCAATCAGAGAAGGACCGTAACTGAGTACAAGACAACAATTTCTGAAACGAACCCTTTTTACCCACCTACTATTATAGGGCTGCACAGAAGCAATAACTATTATGCTATGTGGGATTTGTTTTTGCTCCTAGTGGTGTTCTTCCATAGGTGAGATATTGGCTTGTAGGATTTCAAAAAATTTATTTATATACAGCCTATACAGGGTGTTTTCAGAATCGGAGCTATCAATCTAATGGGGGTGTAAATCAAATGAAAAATTTCTTCAAGCAATACACATTTTCCAAAAAAAATTACGCTGTCATCATACCATTTTTTCCGACTGTCAATATTCCAAAAATTATTTATACTTCCAGTACTTAGGACGACATCTCGCCTAGATCGAACGCTCTGGTTCGGCTGTAACAGTGATTCACAAAAGTTCCATGCAAACTCATATAATACGATATTTCTTTACACAAGAATGTATTCTAAACTGCTTTTTTACCAGAACATCTACTAGTTTGATTGATCGATTGTCTATGTTACCGTACTGTCTATAATAAAGACACAATGCAGCTAGAGAGCAGCATGAGTAATTTTTTTTTTTGGCCAATTATAGAAGTAGCAGAATCAAGATAAAATAAGTTTAATTGTCTCGTGTGATGGCCATGAATTTCTGATATTCTTATCAAAACAAAATTGTATTTCAGATTATTCTTTATAATTTTTGGGTGTATGATGAAATATTCATCATACAGGGCGTGGAAAGAAATTCTGAATTGAGACTCGTATCACGAATCTGTGATTAGAGGTCTATGAAAATGAGAAGTTTCCATCGTTCAAGCCAGGAAAGTAGTTGTTTTCTGATTTCTCCGTCCATTTGTTGTTTCATCTTCCACCAAGTGTTGCCTATCTTTTGCACTTTTTTCACCGTAATGATGAGGGCCAAAAGCCCGAAACACGTGTCTACGGTCAACTCTTCATGAGGGCTATGTTCAATAATCTTTTCATAGTTTGCTTTGAGCAGTTCCTCCAATATTCCTTCCATCTCCATTTTTTTTATGTTCATAGTTTATCTGAGAATATTCCTCTTCAATATTGATTGATTGATTGTCTTTATTACCCCAAGAAACATAGTTGTTTATAATAGAGATACATAAATATACATAATGTTATACATACAATTATGAAATTATAATAAGATATAACAAGTAAAAAAAAAATGCAAATAATCATGCAATATCAACCTAGTCTTTTATAAGTAGGTATTCAAATAAGAAATGGAATTATCAAAGTCTCTGAAGCATATATTTTTTTAAGTTAATTTTGAATCTAGTTGCTTCCTGTATATTCCTCAATTGACTTGGTAATGAGTTGTATAGAACGATTCCTGTGTGAAAAATTGATTGTTTGCCGATATTTGACTTGAACGTATTTGCTATTAGTAAATTTTATTGTCTTGTTCCATGATTATGTAATGAATTGATTTCATTGAAATTTTAATTCGAAATTTTCATTTTATATAGGACAAATTGAATAAAACAACATATTTTAAGTTTATATAGTGATGTCAGATCTAATAAATCTCTAGGTTTGTATAAATTCATGGTTGGTTCGAGAAAATTTAAATTGAAAATACACTTCAATGTTTTATTTTGTAATTTCATTAGTGGACTCAAACGTGAAATATTGGTACTTCCCCATATAGATATTAGGTATTGAAATTTTGAGTAAATAAGAGAGAAATAAATACTCTTCAAGTATCTGGTAGAAATGAAATTTCGTATTTTGAATAAAATGCCTGTAATAGGATTAAGTTTGTTTCTTAAATGATCTATATGTTTATTCCACAATAGTCGTTCATCAATATAAAGACCTAAACATTTTGTAACATCTCTATATTTGATGAGTTTATTGAAGGATAGTGTTCTATTTGAAATGTTCAATGTTCTTTTTGCTATGTACATATATGAGGATTTGTTATAATTGAGAGATAGTTTATGAACTTGTAACCAAGAGGATATTTTCTCTAAATCACTTTCCATGTCCATGATAATATTATTTGAATTTTTAGAGAAATAAATCAATGTCGTGTCATCTGCAAATAATTTAAGTTTTCCTCTCAATTCCAAGTTTGATATTGAATTTATGTAGATCAAAAATAAAACTGGTCCCAAGACTGACCCTTGCGGTACACCGCATGAGATGTTCATTAAGGAGCTACAAGTACCACTCACTTCAACATATTGTTTTCTATTTGATAGATAATTTTTGAACCAGGAAATCAAGAAGACGATAATTCATAATTTTTTCTATATTGTTTATGATATTATATGAAACTTTAAGAGAATCTATTTCGTACAATTCGTAGAGTCCTTTTGAAGTCCATGGGCATATGGAGCTCCACCGGCCCGACCACGGCCGCCCTTCTGGAGGACGGCGAGTACCGGCTGAAGGACGGCGAGTTCGTGCCGGTGACGGCGAGTTCGCCGCCGTCCACGTCGTCGAAGAAGTCGAGCAAGTCGACGAGGTCGAGCAGGGCGTCGAAGAGTCGGTCTTCGACGCCGGTCAGTGAGGAGGAGACGATCCTGATACGGACCAGACCGATGCAGAAGATGCGGCATATCTCGATAGCGATGAAAATGGCGTAAGAAATTCACAGATTTTGTTAGTTTCAACCTGTGGCGAAGATAGCTCTCTAATTTTGAGGGGGCCCAAGCCCAGGGACGTAATTTCAGTGCGGCAAGGAGCCTAGGAAAAATTGTCGCCCAGTTAGACCGCTGAACAATTTTTTTTGAGCTCAAGGACAAAAGCATTCAAATTGAAAATTATATTTTTGCCAGGCCGACGACTTCATCACAAAATTATGTTATATTTTATTCAACCTACTGTAGAAGTCCATGTTGTCTTGAAGTGGAGTGCAGTAGTTCATATAGTAATAATACTCCAAGTCGTCTCCACAAAGTTTAGTATCATCAATCATCAAATCAGAAATAGAAAGGGGATCCATCATCAGCCGATTGGAAAAATTATTCTATAAAGAACAAAGCAACAATAATGGGGTGTCAATGGAGAAGAAAAAATGTTCTTGGAATCACATGAAGTTACAAAAAGCTGTTATAATAACAAAAACGTTTCTAAAATTTCCATAAAATTATTTAAGTGGAGTTCCACAAACTATCTTCAAAATAATAATCAAATCACAACAAAGTTGGAAACATAGTGAACTAAAGATATATGATGTAAAGCGTTAACTAAGGCATTTTGTCTGAATTTGGTTAGATCACCTTGGTGAGCTCACCCAAATATCCATACGGTATAAACGTGCGTATTGACCGATTTCAGATTTCATATTCCTCAACATTTAGTAATGTGATCTATGTAGTGCATCTATGACAGCACCATCCCAATCGAGTCGTATATCATTTATTCTAAATATACAAAATTATGCAAAGGTTACGAAAACTTCACTGAAGCGTCGCGCATGCGGCGAAATGTCAAAAAGTGTCAAAAACCTTTAATGGGTTGCCTGCAAGAACTGTCAGATGACTGACCCTGGAGGCACAACATTGAAACACAACCTCACTTTTCTTATTTGTTTACAAGTGATTGGAATAGTTTTTCATAATTATTTTGGCATACGAATGGTATTTTTCGGCTATTCATTAATTCGCTAATGCCATCACATTGTGCTGTTGTACAATGCACTAAAACTGCAGCAGAAGACGAAGGAATCCTGTTGGTACATTATGATTTAAAAGTAAGTACCTACTATAGTCACTCACATAGTTTTCATTTTTGAAATTTGGCAATTTCTCTGATTTCTCATCGGAATTCCTGCGGCAATAGGAGCTAATAGAAAAACACGTGCAATTGCTAAAATAATGCAAGAAGATTTGATTCATGCAATCAAACGGGAGGACTGGTCTGACATGCTGACGAAATATGATCGTGTGTGTTGTAAACATTTTCAATCTATTTGCAGTATTAGCTTGCATTGCAGAAGTGGCAGAAGGAATTTTAGTAAGTAATGACAACATTTCCTAATGAAAACTATGTGAGATTACTATTTACCTGCAAAATCATATTCCTTCGTCTTTCGCTGCATTTTTTGTGTACAAAACACAATTACAGCACAATATGAAGGCATTCTTGAATTAATGAATAGCGCAAAAAACAGGATTCGTTTGCCAAAATACTGTGAAAAACTATTTCAATCCATTGATTCCTCTGTAAACAAATGAAAAAATGAGGTTGTGTTTCAATAATTCACAGAAGAGTGTCTCGTGAACTTCACGCTGTCGTAATGGAGAAATATTTGCAGAAATGTTCTCTTGAAACGATCTGGCTCGCTTATGAACTATAGAAAGTTTCGTGTCAATATACCTGCAAACCAGAAAGTAATAGTTCGGAATAACAAGAAAGAAAGTTGATAGGAATTTTCGGTATTTTTGCCAATCAACAATAAATATTCTCGAAGATTCATTTGGAAAAAAATCTAAGAAATCATATCCTGTTTATTAATGCATCATTTTTTGTAGGATGGCAAAATATGCTCAACACTTCAAAATCTTCATTCAAAATCTGTTGGATCCTACCTCTAGAACGGCAGCTGATGTATATTCTTTGATGTTCCTGTGTGATTTCATCAACTTCTTCGTTGTACTTTTCGGATATTCATCGTTTGGCGTAAGTATCTGCAAAATTGTAACCACTTTTTTTTTTAAATGAAACGATAGCTAGTTTATTTTTCTGAAACTCGATATATTAAAAAAATATCACAAATGCATCGTTTTCATGACAATATATTATGCTATGATGTGTCATACTTTAAAAAAATACTATTTGTATTGCCTTACTGTTGGACCATGGAATGTTCTCTTCCTGTGTTGCCAGCTGTTTTCTTTCAAGGATATACCAAGTAAATATTTGAATTTTCAAGACGATGACATAATTTCTGACAAAATAGGTTGGTTGTAAGTTCAATCAGCAACGACAAAATTCATTCAATAGTAATCGTTTCGTATTTTTCAGTAAAGTTGTATTGATAATGGTATATCATATACTCAATAACATAAAATGTAACTTTGAAACCTTCATTTCACATTACATAGTGAATAATCCAGTACAAGAAATGGTTTAGTGTCATAAATTATCAGATTATCATTCTCGTCATAGACCTGCTACTAACATTATTTTCAGTCTCAGCAAGAAGGAGGAGGAGTAGCAGATTATCTTCAGGAGAACAGAGTACCAGCACTATTTTTATTCATGCTAATATTCCAATTCATGCTGATCATAATCGACAGAGGCATATATCTGAGAAAGAATATCTTGGGAAAGATTATTTTCCAGTTCATCCAGATCATCCTGTTGCACGTCTGGCTATTCATTCTATTTCCTGTGATAACTGGAAAGTAAGAAATTTTTTCATTATCTATGTTTATTTTACCAAGAAACAGTTTTAGGAGTCATTCATTTTAAAGTATTCAATTTTAGTTTTTTATTTATTTATCAAACATATCTTCCAGTCAGAACAAGTTCTGGTATGAGGAAGAACATAATTATAAAATAATAAGTAATAAATATCTATGAACTACTACACAAACATGAGTAGAAGTGAACATGAATAATAAATTATAATAATTCAGGATATCACAATAAATCACAATAAAACAAAACAGGGCATACACTTACTGATAAATTTGAAACATTCCTCTCAGAAATGATCAGTTTCATTACTTTCTTTTTAAATGTACCTATATTTCTGCAGTTTTTTATTTCATCTGGTAGTTTATTGAACTCAGATTAGGCTGCATGAGTGAATCTTTTTTCTCCGAGTGTAGCACTAGCAGCATCAAGGTGAAATTCAATTTTTTATTCATGATATTCGGGTCGATTCTGTTCGGATCTTGTTATAACATTGCTAAGATAATAATATTGTTATGATCATAACATATGACAATATTGCTATGAAGTTCTGTATTCTGTTTGCAGAGTAACTGCAAGACTGGTTATAAGTTCAAGTGATAGCAATATTGTTAAAAAATTGAGAATTTTTGAGCTGACAACACTGTTTTCAACTCATTGTTTAAGTGTTAGGTATCGATTTTTTCATTATTTCATGAAGAAGAAGGGTTCATGATTATCTAACCTCTCAAAAGTCTCAAATTAGTCAGTCCTGCGCTGACATTTTACAAAATTATATTGTTCAAATCGAGAGATTTTGTATTTGCTGAATCTGGTCGTCTTTGTGCGACTGGCAAGTAATCAATCATGTCCCCGAAATGAGAAAACAACTAAAAGCCGGATGAAAATAATCGTGATTTTTTAAAAATATTCTAGCAAAATAGCTTGATAAACTATCCATCACTCCATCAGGCAACTGAAATTTCTCTGATATGCCGAAATTGTAGTCTCATATTTCCTCTACAAATTGAAACTTCAAGAAAAGGTTTTCAAGTAGTTGGTCACAGTAGTGAACCTATCCTATATGTTTGTAATCACCATTCAAATTTTTCAATAATTCTTCTATGGATTGAAACTTTGAGGAAAGGTTTTCGAGTAATCAGTGACACAACTGAACTCTCATATGTTTTTGAATTTTAATGAAGTTAATACGATTCACGCCCATGAAACAAGGCAATTCAATTTATTGATAGCAAATAATTTTAAGTCAAATTTTGGTAAACAATCAATATTCCATAATGGAATAATTTTGTTTAACTCCTTACCTAATGAGTTGAAAAATATAGAAGAAGCAGAAAAATTTAAAATGAAATTAAAGAAATATCTGCTCAGTAAACTTCAATAGTACTAATCATTCACAATTTGATTACCTACTTGTAATGGATTATGATATTTTCATTTTATATTTTATTATAATTCTTTTTTTTTTTTTTTAGAAAAAACAATATTTGTGCAATTATTATTGTTTCGATTTATTATGTTTTATAATATGTATGTTTTGTTGTATATATCCCTATTATAAACAATAATGTTTCTTGGGGTAATAAAGACAATCAATCACTATTTTCTGAATTCACATACAGTTGGAAAAAATTGTAGTGCAAAAACAAAGAATCCACTACCTTGTTATGAGATAGCAAGCACAAAATTGATGTTGCCGAGATAGCAAGAAAGCTGACCAGAAGTCATTGAAATTGACAGATCATATTGCCAAAAATCGATGATCAGAATTCCACTTTTTCGAATCTTGCTATGATAACAATATCTTCTCTACAACCATATTGCTATTTGCAAACAGAATCGACCCGACTGTATGAAATTTTTAAAGTCTCTAATCTGTACAGTTCTTCTAATGAATATGTTTTCGTGAAAGTTTTACTAATGTAAATAAACATTCTGCATCAAATGATCTATGGATTCGTACTAGCCTGACCGATTCCGTGTATTTTCTAGTCAGTGCAACAAAGTGCTAGCCCCTCAAATATACTACATGGTCAAGTGTTTCTACTTGCTCTTCTCCGCCTTCCAAATACGGTGCGGCTACCCTACTCGGATCCTGGGCAATTTCCTGTGCAAGGGCTACGGCTACCTGAACATGTTCCTCTACAAGGGCTTCATGCTGATCCCGTTCCTGTTCGAGTTGCGCACCTGCATGGACTGGATGTGGACGGAGACGTCCATGACACTGTTTGATTGGATCAAGATGGAGGACATCTTTTCTCACATTTTCTTACTGAAGGTAAGATATGTTCCTTCTGTTTCCAGCTATTTTTTTTTATGATGTACTGTGATTCCGGGTCAAAGCGTATTTTAGGATGCATATTGAAATTAAACAGTTGATTTCATAATATATTTCCAAACTTTCGGTCTCATGGGAAATGAGATCAACTTTCGAGGTTCAAATGAATTACTATTAAAGGTCACACTACACTATTTCACTACTAACCCAGCCGATTTTGTAACGCCTCGACACATGTTAGCATCTTCAGGAGAAGATTACAACTAAATTTGTATCAAAGGTCAATCAGACTTGAAGAATCTCCCGAATGGAATATATTTTCAACATGTTTATCAATGAAAATTGCTCTACTACTTATCACGAACAAAGCATGAAACATTGTGGAAATATTTTTTGGGAGAATTTAGTTTGGGCTAGTTCAAAATATGCAAATATGAAATTTGACCCCTATTTGTCTAGAAACTAGATTAACTTTTCTGTCAAGTATGACATATTGTTTAAACACATACCGTTTAATGAAAGCAGGTGCATAACGGAAAAACCATTGTTTATGCAATGATGAAATAGCTGGATTCTTTGTTGTTACTTGAATTTGAATATGTATTTATTGTATTTATGTTTACTTTTATAAATTATGAATGATGAATATTATATTATGAATGTAGGTAACGTATTTCTATAGAAACTCCAACAAAAAACATATGCTGTGCGTCGTCGGCCCTTTTGCTTTGGTGAGGTTCTAAAAAATTGTTCTAAAATTGTTCTATCCGTCATTCGGTTGCCCCCTTACGAGCAACCCTCAGAAGTCTTTGAGAGTCTTGTGCAAGCAAGGAATGACGGGGGCCTTACCTTTTAACGTGTGATCCCAAACACTTTCTTGGGCCATCAGAAAAATGTCTGCAGTCGCTGGAAATCGAACCCACGACCAGCAAGCGAATGCGGATTAGAATATTCACACTGTCCGCACGGCTACCTGGCCTGGTACAGTTATAAAAAAATAAAAGATGAAATCTTCAACCTAAAATCATCCATATTGGCAAATATTCAATTGAAACAAATGATCTATTGACATTTTTTAAAAAAACCATTGACAGGCAGACATATTTTAGATCAGTGAACAGACAATATTCTACCTTGCCTACTAGGTTGTCTTTCAGAGTGATGACATCATTCAAAAAATACTAAAACACGAATATAAATATCAGATATACAGCTGCCGACATCGGAATGATATGAACACATCTATTACGGTCATGAACTTATAAAATCAACTGTTTTAGTACCTGAGTTAACTCATACAGTAATCGTTAAGGGAAAACTCAAGATTCAACAGTAACCTATAAACTCCCCGTTAATGAATTATGTTTATATCTGATTGAAAGCTGCTGACATCGGGATGAAATGAACACATCTATTACATTGATTCAAGGCAATGAACTTATAAAACCAACAGTTTTAGTACCTAAGTTAACTCCTACAGTAATCGTTAAGGGGTATCTCAAGATTCAACATTAACCTATAGAACTCTCCCTTGATAAATTCCTTGGAATCAATATCGATGAGAAGTTGTCGTGGTCTTCAAATGTCGATTTTATTCTGAAGAAGCTTTGCTACCACAACTTTGTCATTTGGAAACTCAGAAGCTGTGTCGATAAACATATCCTAATATCACACTATTATGCATGTGTTTATTCTCTTCTAAGTTACGCAGTTGTGGTCTGGGGTAACTGCAGTAGAGTTGAAGACTGGCACAAAAAAGAATTGTCAGAAGTATGCTTGGTAAACCTCCTCAGCAGTCTTGTCGGCCGTTGTTCCAGGAGCTACAACTGTTGACATTGGCTTCAATTTATGTAGTGCAGTTTATGTCAAAAAAACAAACAAACAAATTTTCAGATTGTTGGTAATATGCGAAAATACTCTTTGAGAGACTCCGATTAACTGGTTATACCCCAGCATAGGTTAACCTTGACTACTAACAGCTGTTACATCATGCCACTAAGGATTTATAATTACTCACCCATGAATGTACGACAAATTGCCATTATTTACAAATTCAAAAGAGAGCTCAGGAGAATTCCTAAAAAAACATATTTTATGGGCTAGATGAATTCTTTGGTCACTCCTAGGTATAATTTTATATTACATTTTATGGAGCATTTTATATTTATATCTGTAGTTAGGATAAGGTACATTCATTATTAGTTGTAGTTGTGTGTTGTAGTCTTGTGTCATCTATGTTTAATTCAAGGTTTTTTTATGACAAACCCAGTGTCCTGTAAAGACCAATACGGTGAATAATTGAATTGAATAAATGATGTGTTTGACATTCGGAGTTTCCCACACATACGTCATAATTTCAGTGTTCGAGGCACGTGGAAGATGAATATCCCCAGCCTAGGGGTGAGAAAAAGAAGGGCCACATCAAGTATCTGATGGGCGGGGCGGTATTGGTCGTTATCATTGGCATCATCTGGTTCCCGCTGGTCTTCTTCTCGCTCGGTAATACCGTGGGGGAACCCAATCCGCCCACCGACGTCACATTGGAGATTCGCATCGGCCCTTACGAACCCATCTACAAGATGTCTGCCCAGAGCAATTCTATCGATCAGTAAGTTATGATGGATCTTTTCACAGGATGTCCGTAAAAATCTCATATTCTCTAAATGAAAAAAAGGTGACTTCTAATGTCATCTCAACTGTCTTTTAGTATACTTGCTCCACAGCTGTTTTGATATCTAGGGGAAATCAATTTTAGTGCATTGTTTTCTGCATACCATAAAATAGTCATTGAATGATTCGTTTTGAATAAGTATTGGAATGAAATGGTGTCTTTTGGGTTTATGAACTGATTATAATGGGGAAGATCACTGAGGGAAGAAATCCGTGCAAACCTCTTTCAATCGACGAATAATGATTTACATTTTATGTACAATCAATATTGTGAGTTGAAGGTGAAGGGTATCGAATCTATATCGTTTTGAAATCAGCATATTTCCTTCGATATTTCAAACAGCCAAATATGATGGTGGAGTCGTGACGTATTAGTCCCGAACTGTAGCTATCTCTCTCTGATACCTCGTCATTCTGCAGTGTTGCAGTGTAATTGGTCAGTTCAAGGACAATAGGCGTGTTGGGACTAAGACGTCGCACCAGTCACACCAATGAATTGATGAAATTTCAAATGGCGCAGGAATTGTGTGTTTTGAAATGGACATATACTAATTTATTTTTTTCATCGTCTTAGCATGAATGAAAAAATTCAAAATTAATTCACTGGTAGTTTTTCAGTTTAGAGTTCACGATAATGTCGTTTTAAAAAATCAGTGGTCTTCCCCGTCTCTATAATGAATCATTTTATCGACATTTCATAAGAGGTGCAGAGATTGATCCAACATTACAAGAAATATAGCTGGAAAATGCTCTAGCACAGGTACTGAAAAACAGGGTGATTACCAAACTCTCATTTGTCTGATGATAATATATGTAAAATAAATCGTTTAACATTTTTACATTTGGAGTCCCAAAGTGGCAAATTCCAATTTTAAGGTTATAATATTTGTGTTCTCTGAATATGTGGTTAACGGGTTGAGTTCCTTTTGACGGAAATATTTTATGGAATTTTTGTAGATTCACAAGTGGTGAAATGGAAATGTTGATGACGCTTTATAACGCTTACAAGATATCCGAAACGTTTATATACAACTACGAGGCAGTGGACGTTGCCGCAGTCAAATTGAGTTCGGATTCAGCCAATATATGGGCTATATCCCCACCTGATCGTAAAAGAATGGTAGCAGAAATAGAATCACGTGAGTTGATTAAATTCCTATCATTCATTTCTTTCAGAGATTTTTATTCATTAATTCATTTACTTATTTATTATTAATATACATATTTTGTCATCAAATATCAATTTCATGTACAGGGTGTTTGAAAAACATGAGAGATAGCTCAATATAACATTTCTTTTACAGACATAGCTCCAAAACTTACTCATTTCTTAAATACAGCTGTGAATAAAAACATTTGTAACTAGTTTAATTTTCACGACGCATATTTAAAATTAGAACATCTTGAGAACCATCGTTTATCGAATTGATTCAAGATCATCTTAGCAGGGAATAAGTAGCTTGTACCAAATTAGCATTATGTAATACCACAAGTATTCAGCAATTGTTGTGAATAGTTTGATATAGTTTTTCACAATTATTTTGGCATACGAATAGTGTTTTTCGGCTATCCATTAATTCGCGCATGCCATCACATTGTGCTGTTGTACAATGCACAAAAAATGCAGCGAGAGACGAAGGAATCCGGTTGGTTCATTATGATTTGAAAGTTAGTACCTACTATAATCACTCACATATAGTTTTCATGTTGAAATTTGGTAATTTCTCTGATTTCTCATCGGAATTTCTTCTGCAATAGAAGCTAATGAAAATACTCGTGAAATTCCTCAAAGAATGCAAGAAGGTTGGATTCATGCAATCAAACGGAAGGACTGGTCTGACATGCTGACGAAATACGATCGTGTGTGTTGTAGACATTTTCAATCTATTAGCAGTATTAGCTTCTATTGCAGAAGTGACAGAGGGAATTTCAATAAGAAATGATGAAATTGCATAATGAAAACTATGTGAGATTACTATTTACCTGAAAAATCATATTCCTTCGTCTCTCGCTGCATCTTTTGTGCATTGTACAACAGTACAATGAGAAGACATGCTTGAATTAATGAAAAACACGATTCGTATGCTAAAATATTTCAATCCCTTCATTCCTCTGTGAACAAATGAAAAAAGGGAGGTTGGGTTTCAATGTTTTAAAGAAAAGTAAGGTTGTGTTTCAATGTTTCACGTCCAGGGTCGGTCATCGTGCACGCGACCTATTCGGCTTCTGTAATCTGTATTTTTAGAGCAAGTCCCATGATTTTCAATAGACAAAAAATATCGCTCTAATACAGGAGAAACCGTGAAAATGGTCGATTCTGATTGGTTCTCGAGAACAAGAGTGGAATAGTCAAGAATATTTATGTCAGATATTTTTTTTTTAATTGAAATTCCATGTCATAGGAACTGGACTGTTTGCATTGCCGATTTCTCACTTCGCTCGTATTTTTTTTGTAGCTCGACCTTTGGAAATCAGATTGTTTTATAAGGTGTCGCACAAAACCAGTAAGCCGGAAGACTCCGGTATAATTTCCGATTTCGTCGAGCGAGTGATACCGCCAAGTACTGAAATGGAGAACAACACGATCCGTCAGAATCTGCTGAAGATGTTGGAAGGCGGAGAGGCCGATCCAGTGCAATTCACTTTCCTTTTGCCCAAGTTCCTGAAAGTCACCAATAGGGGAACAGCGAAGCCAATCGACGAGCTTATGCTCGCCCATCCAAGTGAGTAAAAAACATTGGCATTAGTCTCTTGCTTTTTAAAATGAGAACCTATAAATGTTTTTCAGAATTTCAACTTGTTCGCCAGACAATAAATTCCGGACAAAAATAATGCGCTCATATCACAAAAAAAAATTATTTCATAATTCGATAGAACTCACTTAAACTAGCTCACCACCGCAAACCGTTTCTTGCTGTGAGCTCCCTACGTTTTATAAAAAATTATTGAAATCCCCGATATTTCGGACCTCTGAAAACGAGGCGATGATGTGACGTCAAAACCCTAATACTGAAACAAGATTATTCCAGACAGAGATGAATGATACATGATTTCTGACAGAGTGAATTAGCGCGAGATCACAGTTGAAAGAATTAATATATCAGTTGCCTCTATCTCCGTCGGGTGTTTGGTATTTTCTTTTAACTATGGTGAGATGAGGTTTCTACGTCATGAGTGGGTCCGTTTTCAGAAGGTACTATTATTTATGTCCAAAAATAAAACATTCCAGTTAATTTTTCGATCGAATTATGTCGTCAATCATTATTTATGTATAAAAGGATCATTATAAACATGGTTTGAGTTGAAAGTTCTACTAAGGTGTACACGCCCATTATCGAGATTTTTCAACGTTGGCATATTTTGTTGCAGAGAAACTTTCGAAAGAATTCCGTAACATAACAATAAGTCTGTTACGACCGAATAATTCATTGCTGCATGAGGGAGAATGGTGGCAGATACATGAAGAGTGCGGTACCCCGGACGACAAGAACTACGAAGTTTTTTTGAAGAAAATACCCTACGAAGATTGCAAAAATTATATAGTCATGTATACTTTCAACGATAAAGTGTTCCCGTCAACTTTGGACTTTATCACTGGAGGAGGGTAAGATAACACGTTTTTTCACCACCACTTCAAAAAAATTTCATCACTTTCTATTAATGGTAGGTATTTCCTTATCAAGGTACATTTTGAGTTCCTGGTTTCAGTATGCATTCTATGATTGGAATAGAATATTTTATGATATTCTAATGCTTCTATGACTTGAATAAATTTGCCTTTTTTGGTTGATATAAAAGATTTTGCCCCAGTTAGTTTGACAACATTATGAAATATCAACATTTTTCTTCATAGTCACAGGTGATTTATAGATGATTATAAGGACAATGAGGTCGAAGTGGCTTATGTTCACTTAGTTTCAATGGCAGGTTAAGCAAAACTTAAACTAATTGCAATTATTCCCCTGAATATGAATTTGAGTTATTTGATTGAATAAGATTACATTTCTCAAAACTAGTGGAGTTCAAAGTCATAACTGGTGCAATGCTGCATTATTAAGCTATAAGGCATGTTGTTATCTTGGCTAACCTTCATCGCACCATCAACTGATAACAATTGCCTGGGCATTTATCTGTCCCCTCGCGAAACCATTCATTTATATGTGTTGGCATATACTTTTTAATGATTCATGAATGAATCACAGTGTGTAAATATTGGTATTTATTCTGAGAGTTGCTCTTTCACCTGCAGAACATTCCGTACCTACCGCACCTAAATTTAATAATAATCGCACCTCTCGAATGTGTACTCAGCTATTTTTAGACGTCAGCGAAATCCTAACGCAGAAGGGTCTCTTGTCGCGCCTGTGGAACCTGATTTATTAATGAATCGCGGTGTATATCTATTGCATTGTCTGCTAAATATGGAGAAAAAATCTAGTGAGCTGGAGTATCTGGTCTGCCCAAACAGGGGAAATCACCTACAGCGTTCTGTGGCCGATACAGTAGTACCGCCATACGGTCAACTCGAGGAAACACTCAGTTCAATTGTTTTCCTGTCAAACCTACATAACCTTAAAAATCGTTAATGAGTTGAGCCTCGCTCCCTCTCAGCGGTGCTCTCGGCAGTCTCGGCCGATGGCATAGTTTGTTTAGTTTTAGTGAGTTGAGTTCAGTCACGACATTCGGACATTCACGGGACACGGTCACTCAGTCACTCAACAATTCAAAAATAGTTCACGCAGATGATGGAGATATGACAAATACGTAGAGACCGAGCCCCCTTACTGGCATACTGGCCCTTACAGCCCTGGACGAAATACGGGATTCTGTGCATATTGATCATGATAATGATGGTGTGAAACGTGGGAACATAAATAGTGAAAGCAGCTCGGAAAGCAGTGATTCCTATTTTATGGTCTGTGCAGTATTTTGATGTGCTCAGCTGTGAATCAATTGTGGAAATGAAGTTTTTCATCAGCAATAAGCAAATATATATATGGTTATAATATAAAGAAAGGAATCATGAAGAATCTTATCCACAGATCTTATCTTGTATCTTGCATGAATACTACCTTGTATGCAGGAAAACATATTTATCAAGGAGAAGATCCACATCTTTCAGATTCGAAACTATGGAAACTCAAGGAAAGTATAATTACTACTGCTTCAGTTTTCTGCTGAGCCTTAAGAACTAGGTACCTAGTGAATATACCTCCGGAATATACAATGTGAGAAGTCCACAGTAATTGAAATCAGAAAAAGGCCCCAAATATGTCTGGATGTTGGATTGTGACCATTTCTGGAAGGATTTTTGTTCACCTTTATTTATTGATGAGATAATATGAGGAGAGAACTCTATAATTATCTAAGGTTTGACTAAAATATAATATCTATTCTGATAATTTTAGGGGTTCCTATAACTTCTTATTTTTACATATTTTAAGTACTCATGTGAATATTATTAAAACCTTCAACCTTAAGTTGAATCTATGAGAATGAGTTTGAGTATAGTTCCAATCCTACAGGTCATCATGAAAGTGAATAATGTTTTTCATTATTGTGTTCTCTACCTGCTGATGTACCTACCCATTTATTTTATGTTTTAGGTTTGCTATATTTGGTGATGATTGAAAATCAAGTTGAAAATAACTAAAATGAGATGAGAAAGTGATGGCATCACTTTTATGAGTTGAAATATCATATCACTGCTGAGAAGAAGAGAATTGCTGCATCTAGGTATGAAGGTATATATGAGTAGAATTTTAACTTTTGCACTATGAAATCCCTGAGACATTTCAGATACTGATTCCAAGTTAGCTTCTCTCAAGGTTTCACTAGCAGACTCATGTCATCGAAAGGTTGGCTTCAGAATGAGAAATGGAGGGGTTATACAGGGTTTCCCAAAACTCAATGTCATTCTTCAAAGAGCTGATATTGAAGCTCAGAACTGACCAGATTATCACAATATGACCTCAGTAGATTATTGAAAGTTTTGGAGATATTGCCACTTTTATGAATTCTGTGAAAATAAAATCTTTGATCAGTATTTTTAGTGCCACAAGTACAAAACTAAGTTCAAAACTGATTCTATTTTTTTTATGCAACCTGTAATAATAACCCTTCTATTGACTACAATTCAAAATAAAAATATTGGTGCAATACCTATGGACAAAAAAAAACATGCTGATTCACCAGTTGATTTATTTTAATGTTTACAATTAACATTCACCTATTGAAAAGAGATTGAAAGTGTAAGGAAAATGATCATTAAACAGCTTAAGAACACTTTTCAGATCTTTGTTTCAAAGGTTAATGAGATTTATGGGATATATAGTGAATAAATGTATATATTCATGTATATTTTTTTATGAGGTTTCCTGTGAATAAGTGAAATAAAAAATAATTAGCTCACTCAGGCTGGTATTGCATAATTCTTTTCATTCTGGATTCATTTTATTTTGAAATTTTGGATTATAATCAATAGGTCAAAGGGTTATTACAGATTGCATAACAAAACTGGAATCATGAACTATGTAGTTTTGTACTGGAAATACTGATCAAAGGTTTCAATTTTCACAAAATTCAAAACTATCATTATTTTACTAAGGTCATATGAGCTGGACTATCAGCCCTGGAAAGGATGACGTTGAGTTTTTGGGACACCTTGTAAAAATATAGTTGACTTACTTTTTAGGAAATATAATTCTTGATTATTTATTTTTTCCAGGAATGTACATATTTCTACTCTACAACCAAATGATTCAGAATCAAAAATTCGCTGTTTTTTAGGTATACTATTGCAATGGATTCAAGCAGTTGAAGGGGCAAGTGGAAGAAGAGGTCAACATTTTCTGAAAATATACCGTTTAGTCATAGAAGGTACATATGTAATTTGGCCCTCAGGATTTGTTTGAATTCTTCATATCTGAGCAGATACACAGTGGTAGAAGGTGCTGTTATACATTAAACATCAAGGAATCAATAAAAGGAGCTATATGTGCCCATTGTCTACATGTCAGGTCAGGTTGGAATAGAAGAAGGGGTTATGTAAGCATAAATCCAGATGTCTATCAAAAAATGATATGTTAGCACAATGCTGTGAATCATGAAAAATCATCCTACAACTATTCCTCACAATTGCATAAATCAAATTATTAAACTAGTTTCCATCAAAAAATGTCAGCTAACTTTACTAAACCTATTTCTCTCACAAACTCATATTTGTAACAGAACTCCTTCTTCCACTTGCTGCTTCAATTGATATTCCTTTCAAAATTTTCATTACCAAAGGAATGGAAGCAACTAAATTCAAAATTAACTTGAACAAATACCTGCTCCAGTGATACTGAAGAAGCTAGCAAAGCCACTCACAAATTTGAACATGAGACACATCTCATAATTTTTGGCTCATTTTAGGCTAATTTATTATCCTATTCCAGAATATTTTGCTCCTCCATATCATAGGAAAATCTGTAGCTTTGCTAGCTCCCGGCGAACTCAGCAGAGCTATTTTTGAAAACATAGATTTTTTACCAATTTGCTATATTGGGGTTAGATAGCTTATTCTAGGCTAATTAATTACCCAATTTTCAAAATTTTTGCTCAACGTTTTTGTGGAAATGTGCGTTATTCACTAGGTATTTATGCATTTTTATGAAAAGCAAATTGAATGATGATTTTATGAGGCATAGCAATAGTACCTATTGATTATAGGCTATCTCATTTTTAAAAGAAACCTGTTTCTTTGAGCTTCGGGCAAACTCAGCAGAGCAATTTTTGAAAAGAATATATTTTTTACCGATTTGATATAGTGGGATGCAAAGGCTAAATCAATTACCCTTTTCAAATTTTCTGCTCAACGTTTGAAAAAAAAATTCACTAAGACATTATATATATGCATTACTGTCAATAACATATTTTTTGATTGTAGCTCAATAACTATCCCATTTTCGAATTTTTTGTTGCATATTTTCTTAGAAATGAAAGATGTCTAGTGAATAACGCGTAATTCGACAAATCATTTCGGTTATTTTTAAACGTTGAGAAAATGAAATTGAAATAGCATAATCAATCAGCCTGAAATTAGCCTTTGAATCCCAATATAACAAATCGGTAGAAAATATATTATTTTCAAAAATTTCCTGCTGAGTTCTCCCAAAGCTAATAAAGCCACAGGTTTCTTCCAAAAAATATGCAGCAAAAAATAAGAAAATGTGATTGTAACTGAGCCTACAATCAATACTAACACTTAAAAATTAAAATATGGCGAAAACAACGAACTCACAGTCGGTCGACCACAAAATTTAATATAAAAATAATCAACGTGTGACTATAGTTTCGGCTCTACGGCCATCTTCAGACACAATGAGAAAAGTAGCTACTTGAGTAGTATAGTCACACGCTGAATATTTTTATAATAAATATTGTGGTCGACCGACTTTGAGTTCGTTTTTTTATCCTGTTGAAAAGTACTGGACCACTTTGAGAATGGATGGTTACGTTTATTCAAATATGGTTTTGATAGAAATGCGAAACACATAATGCCCAGTGAATAAGGCATATTTCAACAAATCGTTTAGTTTATTTTTTCTGAGAACGTTGAGC